AAATATCATCAACACATTAAACAAATTCATGTCCTGGTTCTACCCATTAAGTTAGTTTTTTAATTCTTTCACACGTGTTTTAATGTGTCTTTCTTGTTCTTGTCTTCTAAATATTGTACTGTATGTACCATGTTGTTTTTGTATTGTTATTTATTATGATTACCAGTTTTATTTTCATCCTTTGATGATTTAAAAAAAGAAAAAAAGCATGGGCAATGACTGCATTACTTGTAAAATTGTCTTTGTAAATCCAATTAAAAAAGGAGAATTAAAGCTCCCTCCTGAGGCTGAGTAGGGCTCCCTGCGACTTGTAAACCGACTTTTATGTGCAAAGTTTATGGAACCTCCCTTTAATTTCATGAACCTGATTTCAAGCACATCACTCTGCTATGGCAGATGTGGACCACTGAGGTACCTGAGTCTGTGTGAAGATCTGGGCTTTCTGGCACTCCTCCAGGCTCGGGGCGAAGCTGGCCATGACGTGCTCCTCTGTACCGATCATCTGCACTATCTCCTGGTCACTCTCTACGCCCATACCCTGTGTGGATGACATGGAAACAGTGTGTGAGCTCTGGAATGTGAACTGAATAGAAAACGAGATGAGAGAGAATATGTGGACTGTTTGAAAATGAAAAACCGTTTAGATATTTAATTTGTGTAACCACATAGGAACTTGCTGGTTAAGTGAAAAGCACAAAGAGGAGACATTTTGTAGCTGGAGCAAGAGGAGAGCCAGGAGATATAAGAAGGGTGTGCGGGAGGGAGGGAGAGGTGTACTGTGAGTCATAAGGTTGTCTGACATTTGCTTATGGAAATGTGAGGCTGTGGGAACTAATCCCATCTGTCTCACACTGGATCTGAGGTTATTTCTGCAGTCGCTGCCAAACACAGGGGGAGAGAGACTGGGAAGAAGTCACTCAGGATATACAAGTGCACAGCAAACAGAGCGAGCATGCAAACTGTGTCCTGTGGATAATGATTTCAGCTCTGAGCACTCAACACTCACAAGTTGACATGTTTGGAGAGATTTGTCCTCAGAGGGAAAGAAGCTAATGATGCCAGCTGGCTAACTGACATTTTCACTGAGAGCAAAGGGCGACACATGAAAATCAATCTGATGAAGAACTACTGAAAACTGACTTCTATCTACACACTAACCTGTAGCAAAACCTCTCACTAAATAGATGAATTCTTCATTTTGTGTGAAATCATCTATTAAAGACAGTTCGGGGAGATGCACTAAAACAGAGTTAAAAATAAAAAGGTATTCAATCAGATAAAGTTACTTTTGGAACAAACAGGAGTTTTCGCTTCAGTCTGTGGTGTAACAATGAAAAACAACAGCTTCATCCAGCAGCATCTAGCTGTCTTTTAGCACCCTCTACTGGACGCATCAGCTATGTCTGTGCCCATCATCAGCAAAATCTCTTTTACCTTGAATATGATGGCGATGGGAGCGTCCTCCGACAGCGTGTTGTGTCTGAGGTAGAATCTGCCTTGTTTAACGATCATATTAGTTCTGCTTTTCTTTTCGTGAGTGGAGCTGGAATTAAAAGGACAAGATTAAAAAGAAAACTCTGAGCAGATGAAGAAACAGAAGGTTTGAAGAAGAACATTTTCACAAAACAATGGGAAAATCAGGAACCAATTAAAGCAAAAGGAACACAGTTTTAGGAGAACAATGTGTTTTTCTTGCAAATGAGACAGTTTCAGGTGTCAAGAGCGAGGATTTAAAAAAACAACAACTTTATAACACATGGATGATGCTCCTTTCCTAACCACAAAAAGAAGAGAGACAGGACTGAAATGCTGAAATAAAATAAAATGAAAGAAATATAAAAAGTTGAGAAAGTTGAGTGTTGCTCAGTCGATCATGCAAGGATTCCTATATATAGCATTCTTATGCATTGTATAACAAACATAAAATAGATGCTCTGTTGTTTCTACATTTACATGGGTCTACCGATGCAATCATGTGTCACTTAAAATGTTGCTGCCGCAAGGAATTGTGGCACAGCATTATCTCCTTTCCTTTCATAAAAGAAGGTCCAGTGTATCCTATGCTAAGGGTGATAAGATAGGAAACATTGAAGCTCCTTTCCTCAGCATTTTGAGAATTAAACTTCATCTCTTCTTATGGCTGCCACTTAGATACGTCCGGGGTATTTAGCTCAGTTAGGAATGGTTTCACACTACTCCACTAATCCACAGGTGGCAGTACCATGTCAAGAAATGCAGCAATGCGCCAACAACACGCAGAGAAGAAGACTGTAAGCAAGTAAACATGGATGTAAAGAATGAAAATATGAATGAAAAAGGAAGGAATGCAGTAAACACCCTAACCCTAAAGAAGAAGAAAACTCTTTAATTTTAAACATAAATCAAAATTTAAAATACAAATTATTAAAAATGCAAATGAAGCAAAAAGTAGGACTTCCTGACCACAGTTTAAGAGCTTGTTTGACACGGCCTGAGCCTGCGTTTGAGGCTGAAGTGTTGTGTGTTTCACTAGCAGCTGGATTCAAATCCACAGCATGGCTGTAGATAATCTGCACTAGCTTTAATAAAAGCGTTATGGGAGATGTAGTTACAGTACCTGGTAACTGAGGCTCCCACTGCACCCTTCCTGTCCTGCTCCACAATGATTCGATTCTTGGACAGCTGCTCTTGGATCAGAATGACTTTCTCCTGACCTTTCACAATGAAATAGCCCCCTGTGAAGAAGCACAGTGTGGTGTGATTTAATCACTACTGAAACTGAACACCAGCAAATAACTTGGGCTACTGCTGTTGTTCTGTCTCATGTTTTGGTTTCCATCAAGTTGTATTATGATCGTGTACCTGGATCCAGAGGACATTCATTGAGTTTTGAAAACTCCATGGGTGTCTTTCCTGTAAGAACACAGTTTGAGCTTCGCAGCATGATCGGCATCCTGAGAAAAGCACAGATTTACATTAACAACAAATAGATATGAGCAAGACTGTGGTAATATTCAGTACATGACTATTGCAGTCATGAAGAAAACAACATCATTGTGAGTGAACAGGATTTTTGTCTGTGAGGTTTTGACTGTGAAAGTCAGAGGTTAAGATATTACTCCGTAGAACAAACAAAGAAAAAAACAATGATACCGTCCAATCGGCAGGGCATTGCGGATGATTCTCTGACTGCCGCGAGTGTACTCTATGTCCACTGTGATGGGCGCTGAGTAGGTCATGTCTCTGAGACGACACTGTGGAATCAAACAGGAATGATGAGCTGTATCTCACCAGCAGAGTGAAATGTTGTGACATTTGGACCTGTGCAGTTATTCTAATGCTTTGACAGTGGACACTTCCCAGTATTATCAAAGTGATCATCAAATGCGTGCAAATTATGCATAAAAAACTTCTTGAACCCACTGTGATGACTTCACGTTGAGTTTTATGTATGATAAACTGTCCACAACCCGAAAATAACAATCCAAATAGAGAAAAACAGCAGATTCTCACATGCAAGAAGCTGGTACAAGCAAATTTGACATTTTTGCTTAATTATCAAAATAGCAATTCATTTTCTGTCAACTAACTTATTGTTTCAGCAATATCCCTCAAACTAAATATTTTTTTTGATCTATAGCTAGAAAAACCTGTTAACAATGGTTCATAATTAACATGAAAACCATACTACTGCGCTTCATAACAAACAGAGCTCACCTCATGAGGCGATACTGGTCTAGTTACGTTGAAGCTTTCTTCAACATCAGGCATGCCAACGTAGATATTGAGGTATCTGGAAGGAAAACAACGTTTGGTCTGACTGTGTTAGATTACTGTGAGTTAAAGCGGGCAGAGACAAGTTATGTGACTTACTTGAGGTACCACATTGGATCAGCATCACTTGTGATTTTTTCATTAGCTTTCATTATTTTCTTTATCTGTAAAAGAAGACACTCAAACTGAAATCAAGATGAAACTGAGGCAGCAGTAACACACACTGAAACATGCTGGGGTCGTGTTTTACCTCCACATTGATGAAATAGTTGAATGAGTCGATGTGCTGCTTCACCAGACCTTTCACCTGGAAAACACATAGAGCCATTAAATAAAATGCAGTTTCTGATGTATAGTGCTGAAACAATTACGTAATATATATATATTATATATTATATTTAGCAAAATGTCTGGGATACACAGCAGGTAGATTCAGGTGAGTTCTGTTACCTTCAGGAAGGCTGGTAATAGTTTCCATTTTTCCTGTCAAAAAACAAACAAACAAACAAAAAGGTACCACGTCAAGTGTGTTATTGACAGGCAGTGAGAGTAACTTGCTTGACATATTTTACTCTGCAGCTGTAGCTGATTTGAGACGTAGTTGTCAAAATGCCGACAAGCAGCAACCTGACAGCTGCTGCGCAAATTGTAAACACGTGAATAAACAAACTCAAACCACAACAAACTGACATATTATCTGTGGGTGAAGTGCAAATAACCCCCTCCGCCCACAAACAAACACTGTATCTACAGCTTTGTTATGTTTCTCTGTGCTGCAGCCACCACGTTAGCTTCTCTGTACTCGTGCTGTAAAACTTTGACTCTTTACTTCCTGTAAACTCACCGCCACAGTGTTGACAGGAGCCGCCAGCTCCTGCGGAGTCATGGAACAAAACTCTCCTCCCAACACCTCCATGGTTATTTCTACTGTTCACCTGTAAAACATAAAACTCTGGCCATACAGTCAGTGTTGATATACGGCGTCGGAAGTCGTTGCAACATGCGTTCCTCTCGCGTGTTACGCTGTAAAGCGTCCGTGCGGGCGGAACCAAAGAAAGTGTTCCGCTTTTAGTAATTTTCTGGTGCTGAAAAACCGCAGGGTTATCATAGCTTTATCTGCTCTTATAATCTGGTATAGATCATCCATTTTTGAATGGTTACCTTACAAGTGTCTGAAGTGTCATCTCACAAACTGAGGTGGTAAATGAACATTTAGCCAGGTAATGTGATTTTGAAATACTGGTGGTTTATTTGAATGTTTCAATTTTGTGAGATAATATACTTTTACTGCATTTATTTTATAATCCCCAAAAATAATAATAATTAATAGGATAACAACATAGAGGCTTTACGTGGCCTCACATCTGATATATTCATTTATTAGACTTGTCCTGCCAATGGGCTTTGTCTCTGTTATGTAATAAAACTCAGATAAAGATAGAAAGAATAGACAGAAATAGTAATTTACTTGCAGCTTTTTGCATTAATATACACAGACCACCTGCAGCATTAAAATACTGGTCATATGCTAAAATGTCAACAGTAACACCATATGTAGTTTTGATACCTGAGGACATTTAACAGTGTACAACAACATAATGTACTGGGGTACTTCCACACTGTGGTACTGCAGGTTTTATGTAAATAAAGAATTTCTTCTACATATTCACAATTTAATTAATTGCATGACTGCAAAGATATGATTTAAGTGTATTACAAAGGTTAATTGAAAGTGATTTCATTTTCTGAAGACAAAACATAAAAAACACCAAATATTTGATTTTAAAAAGCACCAGATATTTTTTTATTGAAACTGTTATTTATGAAAATAATTCAGTCCTGATAAAAATAGAGACATGAACATGTGTGTCTTGCAATACACTAAGCAAAACCAAACCACAGTCCATTTGTGCCCCATGTTCCCAAACAAAGACGTGAGTATCACTTTGTATCAGAAGTCAATTCAGCGTGCATGCTGCCTAATATGTCTGCTGTTGCTGCTGAGCAGTTTGGGATATGCTGTGCCGAGGAAGCGCCCGTGTCTGATGACCACCAGCTCCATCTGACACTGGTCGATGTTGACCAGCACCGTGGTGCTCCTGTCTGTGTTTATGAGGAACACGATGGTGAAGAGTGCCATCTCAAACTCGGGGCTGGTCCCGATGAAGGCGCTTCCAACAGGCTTCACCAGATTGTGCCAACTGAACTGGAGGTTCAGAACATGGTCGTCTTGATCAGGCTGTGGACAGAAACACATGGATTTTAAGAACAACAGATTATGTTATTGGGCCATTTCCTTTGTGATGATCTGTTACACTTACTAAGTCACGCTCCCTGGCTTTGTATCCTTTGTAGTCCAAGAAACTGTTTTTTTCTTGCAGGTAGAACTGGATCCAGTTGTGAAAACCAATAATTTCTGTTCCAGATTTTGTTTCTCCGACAAACACATGCTCGAATCCACAGGAGTCCAGGCTGGTGAATGTTTCAATTTAGAAAAACCACAGAAAAAAAAGAAAAGTAAATATATTTATATGTTATAAATCCCTTGTTTGCTTTTTATACTGATTTAATGATGAATGTAACAAATGAACAAGCGTCTCTATCTTACGTATGGCTGTTTCAGTATCTCACCCTGTGTTTCTCTGTCTGCGGTAGAGGTTGAACCAGATCGAGTTTAGCTGACTCTTAAACAGCCTCAAGTCGGCGCTGGACTGTCCTTTGCTCACCAGGTACTTATGAGTCCGCTGTGGAGAGATCACATGTATGACATTCGTGACTCTGGTGCAGGACTCTGTCACAATGAAGAAAGGATCAAATGAGTAATATGAGAGAGGACAACTTAGATCCAACACAATTAAAATGTATAATATTGTTTTGTAACTTTACATCTTTTAATGAATTTGTGTTTTCGATTTTATACCTCTATATCATCATCTTTACTGTATGTCCATTTTTCTTGATCTTTTTTTAATTTCCTCTTTGAAATGTTTCCTATTTTTATTGTCTGCATATGTTTTTTTATTTTATTACACTTTTTATATTTTTTTTTCTGTATTTTGGCATTTTTGCAATTTTTATTATTTTTATTAGAGATGGTAACACCATATTTCACCACACTGTCTATGATTGTGTTTGTGAAAAGGCAACTTTTTCCCCACAGACATCTTGTATATTTATATTGTGAAATGTCTCTATATCTTGTAATAATTCTTGTGGAGAAAGAACACTGGGACTTTTGTCCTGATGTCAACTACAGTCATCAGGTCCATCTCATCACATGTATTTCTCTGAAATAAAGCAAGTACTGCATGTTCACATTTTTCTAGTGATCCTCTTTGGGGAGACTGCTGGGGCCAACGCAGCATTCCACAGCTGCAGACAGATGTTTTAGATGTTTTTTTTCTCTCTCTAACACTACGAAGTAATGTGTACAGTGCTGATCTGAGACAGGAAGAGACTCTCCCACAGGAGTTCAGCTGCAGCCTCCAAACCACAAAATGTAGGAAAACAACAAACCAGAAACAGTTGGTGGGAAACAAAACAACTTACATAATACGTTATACATTATCTTCTTAGTCTAAGAAGCCTAAGACATACAGTACAGACTGAAAACAAACAAGTGTTGGAAATGAGTTGTCGTGGAGCAGAAATGAGTAAGTGAACTGTTAAAAATGTGTGTGGAATTTTACATGCAACTAGTTGTAACATGTCAAATGTACCTTCATGACTTCTGTCTGTAAGACGGCATCCAGGAAGAGATTAATCTCAGTCTGCTCCTCTGTTGTGACTCGCTCTGTCACGCCTGTGGACCGCTCATAGTTGTCCAGGAGTTTCATGAACCCTGCAAGCACAGAAATCCCATTTAATGTAGGGAAGTCTGCAAATGGCCTTTTTAAACTCAGAAAGTGAGAAACTATTCCTGTCTGTTCCATGCACACTTACTGGAGGTGGTGGTCGTAGTCTTTAGTTTGGTCTCATTAACGTTGGAGAACAGAGGCTGTGTGGCGTGATCCTGCACAACGTGGCTGCCCTGGCTTACAAAACTGGCTCTCCCCTAGACAGTTCAAACACAGAATACATCTTTGTAAAAAGAGAGGGAATGTGTCGCATGAATGAGAGTATGTTACATACCTGAACAGATATTGTGTAGTCTGTGCCAGGCGTCATGCGATTCACATCCAGCCTCCACAGCTCATTGAAAAGATTGGATAGTTCCTGGTTTAAAGCTGGTCTGTTACAGAAAGTACACACAACTGACAAATACTGACAAACATAATAAACACAGTTACTCATGAGGAATCTTTATACAGGCTACTGTACCTTGATGCATTCAGCCCACTGAGGAACACTGCAACAAGGACAAGGACTCCACAAAACCTGTACATCACACATTCGACACATTTTGGATAAATATATTAGAAGTGAGAAAAAATAACAGCCTGGTTATTCTGACTTTCAGTAATTAGTCAGTGGTAATAAATAAAATAAAATAACAACATTATTACAGACAACAGACAGTTTTACAAACTGCAACAATGTGGTTAAATTGAACTTGTGTACAGGGAGTAAATTCATTTTTAGATTAATGTAAGGGTCAAAAATAAAAACACATACCTTGCAGCCATGATTCTTCTTGCAAGCTTCCACTCCTTCAGCTCAGACTACAGCAGAGTACTCACTTGTCTGTTCTGCTATAGGTCCAGTCTCCACGAGGCACCGAGACCATGTCCATTAACTGCGCATGGGCAAATCAGGACAAGTATGAACTCCTTTAGCTCTGAGGTCCACACATTTAAATTGTATAGACACCAGAGGGCGCTTTGTCTCAGGGAAGTTTCTCTCCATTGATTTGATGAATTTCTGCAAATGCAGTAAAGGAGTGATCTGAGCTTCAAATGCATTCATTTGGTATTTACATAGTTCCCTGTACTTTTCACACAGGTTTTCACATAGAAAACATGGTTTGTAAAACATTTAACACAAGTGCAGATTTCACTTGAGAGCCACAGTAGTTCCTGTTATTTAGCCAAACTCATGTCTCAGTCAAATCTGGTTCTGTTGTGTCAAACAATATATGACAAAATGAAAGGTCATTTTAATCAGTTTTCACAAGTAGATTCTGACTGAATTGTATTAGTTTGCCATTGGCACGTTTTCAGTAATGTTATAATAAATTTTATTCTGTACACTTAAACTTAGTTAGCGCTCAAACTGTATGTAATAATGACACTTATTTGTATTTACTGCAGATATTCATGCACTTTGTGCTTAATGCAATTTAATGTATGACTTATATTCTTAGAGTTTTATTCAGGGTATTTTTGCATTGTGCTACTTTTAATGTGATGATTTTCCATAAAGATGTTCTGGTAAAACAGTTAATAATTTGTTTATGTGATCTAAAGATGATATTTGTTTCCTTCAGACGGAGCAACGCTACACGTAGACAACGATCCTCATTCCAGACCCAGGCCGTTTAAACCAGCGCGCCCCCTCCGTCAGGTCCCAGTGCCAGCCTCGGGCAGGGAGCCTGGGCTTTTTGGTTGTGGCCCTGAGCCAATGTAAGTGAAGAACTTGAGGCTTTTGATGAAGAGGAGCGAACTGTTTGACAGCAGGTGGCGCAATAGATCTGCTGAACCTGAAGGTAAGTCTTCTGGTAAGCGCTTTTGATCCTCATCCTGAATTAGAATTCAGTTTTCTTCATTGATTTGAATTAATGTGAACTGAATTTCTTTGAATTGCATTTCTTTGAATTAATTTGAGTCGAATTTATCTGAATTGCTTTGAATTTATTTGAATTAATTGGGATTGAATTGCTTTGAGGTGAATTTATTTGGATTTATTTGAATGCTTTTGAATTGCTTAATTGCATTAGATTAAAGCATTGTGAAATTAGAGTTTTTAAATATTAATCCCTTTTGTCTGCCATTTGTTTTTAGAAAGAAGAGGAGAGGAGCAAAAATTAAAGAAGAGAGACATGAAGAGATGGGAAAAAAAGACATTAAAAAAAGGAGAGGAGGCAGGAGGGTAATATGAAGATCGAACCTTCTCAGTCATAAAGATAAATATCAGTTTATTTTTATATTATCTAAATGATAATCCATCTATTCACCATTACTCTCTGAAGACTATTATTCCCCATTGTCTGCCTTTTTGTCTGAAAGAGGAGAGGAGAAGACACGATAAAAGAAGAGACCGAACAGATGAGAAAACAAGAAAAAAGAGAGAGAAGAAAATGACATGAAAAGAAACAATAAAAGAAAAGAGAAGGGTGAGTGGGAGGGCATTATAAAATATGAACTATCTCACACAAAAATATAATTTTTAATCAAATAAATGTTGATATCACAATTCATGAAGTAACCTGAATAACCACCTTGCAATTGTATGCCTCTGCCAACCAGCCAAGTTGCAGGAAATACGGTCACAATCTCCCCTTCCTGAGTTAGCGTTGAATAATGGTCAGAAATGTTTTTGTACAACACTATGATGTAACAGTGAAGTTGAGCTTCGACCATTTTGATATAAAACATTATCACTTCATCCTGTTATCCTTTTTTGTGTTAAACTGTGTCATTATAATTTGTGAGTTACAGCCAAAAACATGTTTTTTGAGGTCACAGTGAATGTTTGTACTTAATCTGAAGAAATTCCCACAAGGGGGGAATCTTGAGATGTCACATTCAAGAAGCCAAAAAAGTGTTTTGCAAGGTCACAGTGAACTTCACCTTGGATCACCGAAATCGAAGTCCAAATGGACATTTGTGCCAAATTTGGAAGGGATTCCCTTGATATTGAAAATGATTAAAACTGTGCAGAGAAGAATTCAACAAGAAACTAAATTCTGTGAAAAGTGGATTGAAAGCAGTTTTTCCTTTATCAAAGCACACGTCATAACTTGAGACTGCTCTTAAGTGTTCTTCACCGCCTCCGTTTTGCTTTGCAGTCAAGAGAACCCTGAACTGCCACTTCAAAAACGACAAGTGAACCACATTTCTACAAAGATTCTTAGTTTGATCAAACAATGCAAAAAAAAAAAAGAAAATGTTTTAAATAATACCAAGTGATAACAAAGAAATGTCTCAGTTTGGTCTCTATGGTTTATATTTTACCAATTTTACTTTTGCAATTGATGTTATATTGGAAAATCAAAAGGCAGAGCAAATTTTCGAAAATGCAGTGCCACCAATTTCTAAATTTCAGCATCACATACATGATTGCATAAAGTGGGGAAAACGACACAACCTTAAATAAAACCTGTTCAAAGCTTCTGGACACTCAAAGACACGATTTAATTTTTTTTTGTCTAATAATTAAGCTTTGAAACCTTAAATCTTTATTACAGTGTGGTTACCTCTGGGTTGTTTGTAATGTGGTGCTTGATTATTCTGTCCTCTTCCGGCTCCTAACATACTGCCCATATCCTTCAGTTTGCTCAATGCAGAATTCTCCAAACAACTGGTCAACATGATCAGAGTTGAGCTATGATATAAATACAGAAGAGTGCAATTGATATAATACCTGTATTCAATGTAGTGAAAAATTCAGACTTATACAGGCTGCTTAATTATTTGATGACCATGTTTTTAGGACACATGTAGTTTGCTTTTCATCATTCAGCAGTGAAATGAGCAACTTTCTCATGATTCTCGTTGCTCTCATCATGTGTTAAAGACTTGATATTTGAGGAAAAACCCGATTGATTTAACTTATTTTATTGAACTTAATAACCGGATAAACGTTAAAAAAGAAAACACACCATCTTCTTAGGTATGGTCGAGGGCTGCATTACAACATTATTACTTTGACACATTCTTATCTCACAGATGTGAATATGCCACAACACTTTTCCAAAAATAACTCTGTGTAAGCCAACAGATTTCCATTAAAATCAATTTATGCTTCAAATAATATAAAATAAATGACAAACTCATATATGGATGTGTTGGATTCAATACCATGCAATGAAATTCATTAGGTTTTGTACGTGCGTCATATGTATTGGTGCAAATACATGCAGAGTATTACTGTTGAGTCAAAACCTGTTCAGTTTTCAGAATAGGATAAAATATAAGACAATTATCAATGAATGAATTAGCCGGGTTTAATTCTGTAGAAAACATAGCAGCTGTTTCAGAGTTATTACTTTACACTAACTTCTAAAAATGGGGAAATCTGCTCAGCATTTTACTTCTATGAAGTCCATCTCTTTTTCCCAAAATTTCTACAGTCAAAACGCAATTTAGAAGACATATATTAAATCTATATTGGCATATTCTAGATGTTCACCTTGTGCTGGTTGACATTTCAGTTCTGTTATAAAAAGAAAGATGCCAGTACATAAATATCTCCAGAAACCAGCTGGCAGGCAAGCAGTGGTGTTGCCCTTAATGTTCCCTCTGTCATCAGACAACAATAACGGAGACAAAGTTCAGGAGTAATAGTGGCTACTGGACTGTATGCTTTCACAACACCATTGTTTAGAACAGATAAAAGAAAGACACTATAATACTTTTGGCTCATCTCTGAATGTAGCACTTAAAAGAAATGTGGGAGCATTTTTGGGGTTTGTTGAGACAAGTCTGTGTGCGGGTGGAGAGGGTTGGCACAGAGTTTCATTCACAGCAGGACCAGGTCTTGTGGTGCTGACAGTCTCATGCGTTAGAGTCCTCATCTGTTACACTGGGATTCGGCGAATTTGAAATCTCTTTAAAGAATTCATCATCTTTCAGCATGCTCTGGTAAAGGACACAGTACAGTTATAAAAAAACATTAACCTTGCAATCAAAATGTAAAATACATTGAGAGAATGGTATTGATGAGTACAATGTGCTATGTGTCCTGATTAGACTTCTGATTCTTACCGTCAGGTTTTGAATACCCTCGGAGAAAGCTCCAATCTGTCTCACAGTTCCCTCAGAGTCCTCCATCTGTGGAAAGAGAAGCAGCTCTCAGACTCAATAAACTCAGACTCACAGTAGATTATACAAACCAGATACTTCTACTGAATATGAAAAAAGTCACTCTCCAAGCAACACTGGTGAAAATGCACACACAATAGAGAAATATGATCAACCTCTCATTAAATTTAAAATTAGTTTTTTTTTCCAAATGATGCACGTCGATTTCAGATGTACATTACATGCAATTATACAGACAGTATAACTGCTTATGGTTTAAGTGATACAAAATCATTCAACGTGCTCTTTGAAGCACAAGATCACCTGTTCTAGCCTGTCAAGGTCGTCCTCGTAGATTTGGAGCTCGAAGCCTTTCTGGAAACTTCTTCCCTTTGGCATTTCCACATCCATTGGACACACGTATTCTTCGTTCTCATCCTGCCTTTTCTTCCTCAGACTCCCAAAGCTACCAAACGACAGTTTCTTTGGCTGGTATGGATGAGGAGAGAGAAGACAAAGCCACATTTATATAGCTACACTTAGACATACAAAGAGCAGAATACATGTTCCTCAAAAATCTTTTCAATTAATTCCAAATAATTTTTTGTTTTTGTCTGTAATTAAATTAAGATTTAATTTTCTCTTTCCTGTGTAGTCCAGGCACTAGCAGGACTATTTAGAAACATAGACACTCTATCCATCAGTAAACTGTGTGTTACCTTGACCTTGGTGGTGGCAGTAAGCAGAGTGTAGTCTGGGTTTTCAAGACACTCCTGTTTGAGCTGCTGGGCCTCTGAGCCAATGAGCAGGTTGAAATGTGTGGCAAGGTGGCGTCGCAACAGAGTCTTGTTTGGGGGGATGTTCAACAGCAACGCCATGGTCTCCACGTTGAACCGTGGCTCCAGAACCTGAGGAAAGGGGCGATGTTTAGGAGTAAGTACATTTGGGGAGAGTCTGCATTTCCCAGGAAGACTGAACATCCAACTCTCTCACCATCAGGCCTCCGTGCACACCGCTGCCTCTTAGGTTGGGAGCGTATTCAGCAAGGTCCACAGACCGCAGCCACTCCATCACCCTGTGGTTGGTCCACTGGGAAATCTCTGCTGGAGTAATGTTGTTCTATGGACACAAAGTGCAGAAAAAGGGTGAATACATCACAACTTAACAAATAAAGAGTATGTTTACATACTGCTGTGCATTATAAAATGTCAAACAGTAGAACAGGCTGCTCAAACCTCATCAGATGGCCTACGACGCAAGCAGTTGGGCTCATAGTTGTTGAGTCGCAGCACTTGTATAGCTCTCTTGATACTGAGGTGATGCAGGACACTTCCAACCTTCAGAGAAAGCAGGTCATCCTGAGGGACAAAGTAAGACATTAATGACTTACTGTAAAATTCAAACAATAAACAAAGTTCTGCTGAAGCTGTGACTAAGTATATTATTAAATAACATAGGAGCCATTTGAGTGCAGTGAACAATCAAGATTCCCTGGCACAGAAACCTCTGCAAAGACATCATAGTTTGAACAGAGCCAGAGGCTTCATCTTTGTCACAAGTATCACAGAGGTTGAGACCAGGCCATCTCCACTGGAGCTCAGACTCTCTGTGCAGTAATCCTAATGTGAGATGGCACTGAAGTCGTCAGACCTACTTTTCCGCAGGGTCTCTGGAAGAAGCGCATGTCTCTTGCCAACACTCACCACTGTCATGTAGTGCAGCATGCGACCATCCACCCTTCCCTCATCAAACTGAGTCTTATACTGAGGTAAACCGATGTCATCCAGCCATCCTGAAAGGAAGAAGAATGAGCAAAGTGTCATGAAGAGAAAAAGAAAAAAATCACAAAATCTACATCAGATTTCCTAACCAGCAGTTAGTTAGTTAGTTAACTGGCAGCTGGTACTCACTCGTCACCCAGTTGTAGTCCAGCTTTCCCTTATTATCCTCCTCCTCTGAGCCGAGGGCCTGCAGAGCCAGCTGCAGCTTCTTTCTGTGCAGCGGGTGTTTGATGCCCAGCTCCTAAACATCCACAAGACGACAAGTAAGGACTACACATCCCCGGGTACTACACTGTACAGTTCAACAACAAGAAGACTTTGCCTGCCCGCCAGCTTTAGTAAACTTATTAAATTCTTCTGCTTCATCTCACCCTCTCCAGGTCCTGTTGTGAGGCCTGTAGCAGAGTCTGTCCAGAGGAGATCCATACACGAGCCATGTTCACATAAAGACCGAGACCCTGCTCCTGCAGCCAGTCACACACCTGATCCTTTGACCAGCGCGCAAAGGGGGCATCAACATCACTAAGAAATAAAACAGAATAGAATAGAGAAGCAAAAACTTTCAAAAGGTATGTAGACACACCCTTGAAACAGTACAAAAAGATAAGAAACAAACACAAGTTTAAATTGCAAGATATATTGCATGCATCTTTGACAAAGATTGCGTTGTCAAAAATCCTGCATTATCTCTAAATTTCAATGTAAACCACATTCAAAACAAGAAAACCACAGTCTAATTATTCAGGATGGAAGCACAGACTTACTTGCTGCCTTGCTGTAGGTCACGAGACCAACCCAGTCTGGGTCCCGCTGTGGCTCGCACTCCACCCCTCTTGAACTCCCCCTCCGGTAGGTTGTCATCCAAGTTAAATGTGGTAGACTGGCTTCTTTTTAACCTTAAAAACATGACATTCAAGTCTAAACATTTGAACATTCTCACACACAGTATTGTACATTTTTCATATTTCTGGCTAAATATGAAAGAATTACAGTTATATCTATTAATCTTATACTTAATTTAAGAGTTACTAAAAATCAAGAAGTCAAGATTCTCATGTCATTTTCTACTCACTTCCCAAAAAGTTTCTTTATCCCCTTGGATTTTTTCCTGCTCTCTGGGGTCGTAGGGAGTGTGTGGGTGCTGTCGCTGTTAGTCGACCTCTGTGGCAGCCCGGCCAGATCCAAATGGTCAGTGCCCTGTCGCTCCGTTTCAGCTGTACAAACAAATGCCCAGAATATTATCAGCATCATGAGCATCAGTGTGGGAGACGTACACAGATCGTTGGAGTCAGCTGCTGCATGGGGCAAGAAAACACTCAAGACAGACACATGACCACTCCTAGACCTAGACAGACTGAGGGGTCATGGTGGTGGGCATTAAAAGCAAAAGCCTCTTTAGTATACATGCATCAGACACAGCTGATGTCTCACCAAGACTGGAATACAATAGTTTTATTTCATTAGATAAAAAGGAAATTCATTAGTTGTTTTGTTTAATCTTTTTAGTGGGAGGGGGGCGTTCAAGATCCAAATAAACCATTTTAGCTGATAATCTGGATCTGAGCACAGATTTGTGGTTGGGGAAGGTTTTAACAAAAATAAGAGTGTGTAAACAAATACATGCAGGCACACAGGCAAATCAACATACACAACAGACGGACTGTATGTTGGACAGACAGCATTTGTGCAACAAAGTGTGTGAAAGGGTGTGGTAGTTAAAGCACTGCAGCTACTGAAACGTGATGATAAAAAGATGTCAGCTGAAGAATGAGTTTAGAAAAGGCACAGATGTAAAGTCATACAGGATATATTCGGTAGATTCCTTGGCTTTATTTGGAGAGCTACTGCAACCCTGCAATGACCTGTGGTCTATACTGTACCTAGCATAGGCGCACTTGCACTCCGGCTGCGATCTTCATGTGTTACAAAGCACACGCAACACACGACAGGGTCCAACAGAAAAAGAACAAGACAAGAGGGCAGAAATTATGATTGAAATAACAACATGATTGTGGAGGTGGAAAAAACACAGACATACATTTGTACAGTTCACACAAAAAAGACATACACAGGACACAGGGCATACAACAGCACAGAAACAGATTTCCATAATTAAATGTGGACCAGTTTGTGTGGGCTGCAAATTATGGTCCATATAGTATACTCCATGGGTGTGGCTTGGGAAAATAAAATGTGTTTCTCAGTGGAAGAAAAATCTCCAAGAAAATCTCACACTGTAGTGCACAGCCAGTCTCTTCCACAGCTAACTTAACATCACACACAATGACATCAAATACAGACTGAGTCACCTTGTAGACATAACTCTTTATCTGGCTGCCAAATGAAGTGGTATGTTCTTACCAAGGTTAGGAGTGCTGGCTGTCTTCTTGCCCCCGCGGATCTTGAAGAAACCCTTTCCAAAAGATGAACGAGCCTTTCTCGAGCCAAAGCTGTCATCCTCTATGTTGGCAGGCAAGGTGGCAGAGGGACACAAAGGTGGCTTTTCACTCATCTTAATGATTTCTTCACTTGTATTCTGAAAGAAGAAAAAACATTTCTCACATACAGCAGTGTAAACACATGCTGTGCTGGAAATTCTCATAAAATAGAACATTCCAATGTAACAAGGTGCAGTTGTGGTTAGCCTTAAGGTCTACATATATTTATTAATAACAATATTTTTCTGAAAAGTAATGATATACATATATTTTTACAAATCTCACGAATAAAAAAGAAACAACTTTTTTTGCAGATATAACTTCTTCTTTTTTTTTTTTACCTTTTCATTATTGCTCCTGTCACTCCTATCCAGGTGGTCCTGGCTTCCAGCCTTTGTAGTATCATGGCTGCTGAAATGACAAACCATAACAATACACACTTCACTCACGGCAGTGTAGCTGAGATAGTAAGCTTGTCTCATACAGTCATGAGAAGCAGCAGTGTGGGGCTACATGATATGAACTGTTACACACATTATTCTCATGTGTAAGGTAAAGAGGGCTACAGAGACACTTCCTCACACTCTGTATCACTGCAGTAAATGGACAGTGTAGACAGTGTACAGCAGCACTTAACACATAGGGGTAAATGTGAATGGTATAGACAAAATATTGTGATCACAGCATTATTTTAATATAAACATGTTGAAATATTTACTAATACATAGACTATGCAAGTATGAAAAAGTTAAACCCCCAGTCTCTTCTATTAAGTCAAAGCATTTTTCCTTGTTTTACTGGAACAAAACACTAATTTTCAAAACCAATGTGTTTTGTAGTATTTAAGATATTATAATTGGTCTAATTCTCTTAAAACCTGATTTAACTATTTAGAAACTAAAACACCACATGCACATATTACTTGACCCAGCTAACTGAATACGTGCCTGTCAGTTTCATTGTCTACACTAAAAAGCCTTCAAATCATACACATCAGCCACACATTGAGCATTTTATTTATTAATATTCATTCATGGAAATAAGTAGGCGCACATCATATATATATAAGTTGAGTAAAAAATGTTCAGTCTCTGCTTTAACAAAAACCTACATTAGTTGAGCTCTAGCATGGAGTAAAGCGATGAATGTGAGTAGGTCTTTTCTCATACTTTACCTTTCTACATCTGTTGGTGTGGACTCAGATACTTGTTCTGGGTCCGAAGGGCTTGGTGTAGCCAAAGGCTCTTCACCCACTCCATTGAGACTGTCCAGCTAAGCACGGATGAGAATGAGAAAAAAAGAGTCAAAATTAGACTGCGTAAAAGCTTTAAATGTGCACCGTCTTAAAACATTAACATATATATTCTCCTGAGGCCTCAAGAACACAGCAGTCTAAATCGGTGCTCGTGCTTAGTGAACTGACAGGAGATGATATTTAATTAATTGGATGACGAGCCCCTCAACACTCATTTAAAAAGTGTGAAATTAAAGGGAGGTATTAGTGTTTTACTGGCCATTTTAGAGTTAATGAGATATGAAGTTCTTTGAGGGCAAAAAGGTAAAGAGCTAGAGCCACTTAGTAATTAGCAATAAATTAAGAAGATAACATCACTAAAAATGTGTTTAGAAATGAACACTTTAAATATCTTATAGCTCATATTCTACATTTTTGAAACATTGAAATTGCTTTTGAAATTATGTTTTAATATGCCACATTTTCTGTATTGTTTAAATTCTTATTTTGTCATGCTGTATCCTGTTAGTATTTACTCTTCCAATAAAGCCCCTCCCCCCACTTGTGAATGCAAGATTGGTTACACCACATCATATTATACTACACAAACCTCATCTGGGCTCTTCCTTTTCAGTTGCAGAACATCTGCAACTTCATGCTTTTCTGGTTCCACAGACATGGGGTTGGTTGACATGAGCGCGAGGCATACATCACCGTGATTCTCAGCATACTCATTATCTTTTGTTTTCTCTGGAGTGGATAATGAACAAGATATAACAGAAAAGAATGTATAATTTTGTCATGTAAAGTAAGAACCAGCTGTTTTATTTGGCATTAATCAACTCACCCGAGAAAAGAAAAGGTTAGCTAAACAGTCTAAAAATAAAGTCAAAGAAATTTTCTGCAGAAAGCTTAAGAGCAGAGTTGTATATGGCAGCAAACAGCCAGCTCAGAGAAATACAAATAAATCCATAGGAAAAACAAGTAGGCAAATAGAAAAAATCTATAACAATAAAAATCTGTAGCGTCAAGTCCCTGCAAGGTGAACTTCATATTATACTGAAATAAGGCCACTGGTTGCTTGGAAAATTGGAAATCATTATAAAACCTATGATATTCATCAAAAATGGCTGAGAGTGATATAAAGTATAAACAATATGTGGTTAATGTAAACCATCCAAAATCAATGTTTTCGAGGCTGACTTTATTTAGTACTTCTTTATCTCTGACATTAAATTAATATTATTCATCCACCATGACAGAAGCGATGTCTCACCTTTTTTCCCTTGCACCGACATCACCATGTCTTGAACTTTCTTATACCGTAGTAGCGACTGCTTTAGTTCCTCAATTTTACGATCCTGCAAAGAAAAAGATGATTAAAACGCACAGCGAAGCAAATCTTTCAGGAAGAGAGTTGAAGCACCTGGTGCGATACAAAACGAATCACAACATGTCAAATGTACCTTCTCTTCATTGGCTGCCATCAATGATTCAACTGCCTTTTTCATTCTCTGCACTTCCACATCTAGTAAGGAAAGAAAATTATTACAGACAGACTATAGCGCTCATGGTGTGAAGATTGAGGAGGGTGAAGAGTGGGGATGTATAATAAGCCTGAACACACAGGGTGAAACTGAAAGATACATTCTGACCATACTGGCTGCAATATTACGGACCATCATTCCAGTAACATAACAGCTGCAGTCTTTGTTTTTTTATAAAAATCTTTAAATTGATATACCAAATCCTTGTGTGAGCAGGTATTTCACATATTTCACTTTCGTAGAGCATTTCACTTTTCAGAACACACACTCTGCCATAAGGTTCTGTGAACAGACAACCCTCAACATTAACATTATTAGTTTTATTCAAGACTTTTCCCCATAGATCCCAAAACATCTCCAAAACAAATGAACTTCAATGTGTTCTCTAACAGAAAACTATCACACGGTGGTCAATATTTTTAAACTTGTATGAAGATGTGTGATGTACATAATATTATTCTGACAAAAACAATAAAAGAAGTGTTGATTGAGGACCCCTGTTATGGCCTACTCTTGCACTGTAGACTACAATATGTGAAGAGTCATGGTGGAGGGAGTGTGTGCACTGACTGAAATGAAATTGTTCTACTTAAGTGAAAGATCACTGATAGGGGAAGGCACAGATATGAAGACAGCACTCACAACAAAGATACTGTCACACAACACTGAACACAACATTACAACAACAATACAGGTTAGCAGGGCACACACTGGTTGTTGGTGTGAGCAGTTGAAGGTATAGAGGAGTTTGGGGACAGATATTGAGGGGTATAGGAGGTGATTATTGTTGGGAGGACATGAGGCAGGAGGATGAGTGAGCAGCCTGAATAGTTATGACAAACAAAACAGTTCATTCCTCATTCCTGTTGAAACACAAAAGCAGACATTCCTTGTTGCTGTTCCAGGAGGGACACTGAAAACACCCTGATAAGGGCTTTTGGATGACCTTAGATATGTTCAGTTCAAAAATCAGAAAAATAAAAGTTTTAAAAGTTTAACAGACGGGTGGTGCTCTGTGGTCAGGTATTAGCACTCCAATGGGTTATAATGGACAAGCAGAGTTCAGATGGCTCATGCTCGTTCATGCAAACAGGGGTTGAGAATGGTGCAAGTGCAATGATGAACACAAACATAAAAACCCCCCTTACGTTTTTCTTTCAGCCTCTTTCTAAGAGTTTCATCTGGATGAGAGACTAAACAGGACAAAGAATTATGAAACAAAAACTGGTTGGTTGCAGATTCTGACTTCTTGTAGGACTTAGCCTAGTGCGTTGCTTGCTATACACAGACATTACCACTCAATCATATAACATTAAGTTGTACATGTAAGGTTAAACATCATGCATGCTCATCTTCAGGGCAGCTTGTGACCTGACTGGCTTTCCCACCTCTCTCTGAGGGATCTGCACTGCTCGAGGCAATGGCTTTGAAGCCCGTCTCATCCTGTAGTCTCCTCATGTCTCCGTCTTTGCCCTCCAGCTGCCTCCTCAGTATAGCTAGCTCCTCCTGTCCAACAGAGGACAACAGTGAGGATATTTCCTCTACACAGATGCCACCTCCCCCACCTTACCTCCACATTACAAACAAACCACAACACAAAGGTTCACAGATGCTGACGTGGCATACAGACACGCAGGCCACACCTGTTCTGAGGGGTATCTTGTGTGAGGTGGGTGGTAAGGACTGATGTCTGGGAGGGCTATAGTAGTGGCAAACACAGGAGGCATGTTTATGTAACCAGAACAGGTATCAAGCATGGACACAGAAAAATTTAATTGTAAAGAGATTTTAATGAAGATGAAGGAAATCAGTGGGCTGAGTATAAAGAGGGATAAAAGACACACACACAGAAAAACAGAAATCCTGCCAAAACTGAAGCATACCTGTGGTTTGAAAAATGTGAATGCTTGATTGAACACCAGTTCAATCAAGCCTTGTGGAAGCAGACTTAAAAAAAAGTGGTATTTCTGACAACACTTTACTTTTTGCATATTACTGTATGGCAGAGTTCATTAGATTAACTTCATTACTTAATTGTTTGAATAATAAATAAAACTTGAAAACTGCTGTAAAATAGATTTAATGATTTTTTCCCCTCAAAAATAAAAACAGAACAGGAGCCAAAGGGAGAGGTCAAAAACCATAATCATACGGCAAGCACAACAGTCATCCTGAGTAAGCCAACCTTCAGAGCCTGGAGTTTGTGCTCCTTCCTCTGTTTCTCATACTGCATCTGGCCCATTTTGATTTTCAGGCTAGAAAGCTTGGCCATTAGTGACTAGCAGTAGAGAGACAAATCAAGGAAGAAAGAGAAAATAGGGATGCAAGAAGTGAAAGATAAAAGAGGTCAAGTAGGTGGAATACCCAAGATTCAAACCAAGATATTTACAATATAAAGCAGATTCAAAAATAGACCTTGTTGATCAATATAGTCAAAAGTTAAAGAGCAGATTTATGCTCTGTTGTTAGTAAATGTAAAGGTGCAGTTCCTCCTTAAGTTTTAACCGAGATAAAACATGCAACATCTTACACCCTCATATCCAATGAACAAGGTATCCTACAGATCAAACGGGGTCATAACAATCACAAATAACTCAATTCAGTGCTTTAAGAACAGCCACCAGACTCTTTGAACCAGAATAAATCATGAATAAAATGAATAAATCATAGAAGCAGAAAACAAGTTGATGTGATGTCTTTTTGACTGGACTAATAATGATGCACAATAGGTGTGCACAAGAGCTTCAGTAATCAAAGAAGAACAAGATGATGGCATGAACGATTTTCTCTGGATCATGAAAGGAGAGTAAAGCTTGGATTTTAGGGGACATTAATATTCTAGTAAAGTGGTTCAGTAGTGAAGTGGCCCATTTTAGTTTTGTTGTTTTTAAAACCATTTCATCCACAAGGGGTTCCCTACCAAAGAGTTAGTTTAGCTAAAGAAGACAGCTCCTGGAGATAAATAAACAACCAGGAGGGTATAAGATGGTAGTCATGAATAGTTTTTCATATAAACACTGGGAGTGTGCAAACTTCACTGTGACAACTCACCTTTGTGGATTTCAGTTTCTTTTCGTACAGTAGTTTTTCACTCTCCAGATCTGTCAATCTGTACCGCAGTTCATTGATTTCAAGAATCAAATCCTAAAAGCATAAAAAGTTCATATCAGAGAAAGATAGTAAAATAGTAAAAAACCTAAAATGCTGAAGCCATTTAATTGGATCTGCATATGACTCTAAGAGCTAGTGATAAATAAGATGAATGTGAGAAAGATGAATTGAGACATTGGTGCAGAACCCTTCTGTCTTTTCAAGTGGCTGTTGGTTTTCTAGTATGTGTTACATTATGGCAACTCTGCTTTTAATGTTTTTCATTCCTTAGCTAGCAGATGCTTCAAAGCGCAGCAGTGATACAATTAGAGGAAGCTGCTCGTGGAAAAGAAGTGAATTATGTGCTGTGAGGTCCAACATGGACAGAAACTTTTTGTTCTAGTGGAGTGGAAGTGACATCCATGCTGCTACAGCACTAACATGATGTATTTGAAAGTGTTCCAAGTATTCTGCATGGTTCATCTCCCCATCTCTAATGAACAAATGATTGACATCTTAACGATTGTAAAGCTTTTGACCAGAGGGCAACAAATCCAAATAGAATCAAAAACAAAAGGTGAACCCTTTGCACACCACAGTCTTTCATCTATAATAACCACAAACACAGCAGGCATATTTTTCATGGCTAGTTCTGTGAATGCTCTGACTGTTTTTCTTACTCACCACACAGCTGCTTCAAGACTGACAGTAAAATAAGACATCCCTCTCCCACACAGGTGTCAGACAACATGAATGAGTGTTTGTTTGGTGTGTGTGTGGGCAACTGCATACATGTGTGTGTGTGTGTGTGTGTGTGTGTGTGTGTGTGTGTGTGGGGGTGTGTGTGTGTGTGTGTGTGTGTACTTAGGCGAGAGAGTAAGGACACATGCAGAAACAAAGAGGATTCCTGTCCTAAGAATTAGCTCACATACCTCGCTGTCCCTAAATCTGTCATCAAAGTCCACTCTCTCCTTCTCCATGGTATTTAGCTTCAGCTTTAGGTTGGACACTTCAGACATCAGTTCAAGCTTCTGGGTCTCCAGTGCACTTCTGCACAGAAGCTCCTACAATATCATAAATGAAGATTGTTACACACAAAAAAAAACTTTGTGGCTGCCATGTAGTCGGTATAGGAAGCACAAATAACATTAGCAATATAGGTATCGTTTTTGTAAATATCTAAAATAGTAATCTGGTCACCAGAAAGCATTGTGTGTAGTCTTTTTGTTTGTCCTACAATGGTATGGTGATAATTTCCAAAAATATGAAGGCTCAGTGCTTAGTTCTAAGGGTGGACAAGAATAGCTGCCAGCATGATCTCAGTAGCTGACCACAAACACAAGGAGAAGCCTCTCCTATGACAAACATGATGAGGTGACCTCAGGTCTTTCAGCTGAATGTATGGTGTCTCTTGGTCTTGTGTGCAAAGAATTATATATTAGGTATATTACATATGAAACAGTCACACACACACAGGCATACACACAAACACACCTGTTGCAGCATTTCCTCAGTGGCATTGAGTTTCTCCCTATGCTCGTCCAAACACAAGTCCAGGTCCCGAATCTTCTCACCCTGAGCTTCCACCTGGTCTGTCAGCACACTCACCTGCATGAAACCAAGCCATTACTCCTTTTTAAAAACAGACATTTATATGTCTCTGTAGTCTAAGTATAAATGTGGGATTTGTGATTTGGTATAAGCATTGCTGGATGGGTACCTGAAGCACCAGAGACTCCTTATCACTCTCTATTCGGGAAAGCCTTTCCTGGTAGTGGTCACCCCCAGCCAGAGAGACATGTCCGTTGGACTGCATGGACAGAAGAAAATGTGGATTAGACAAAGAATCAGAAGGTGATTTTAGTCCTTGAAAAATTCAGACATGGGTAAGTGGTGCGGGTAAGTTAATTCATTCTGCTGATCTTAAAAACCTTGAAGGTTTCAGTGCCTAGTAATGATCGCAGATGAAATGCTTCATATCAAAGTGTGACTGGTTACACTGCTTCACCCAGCACAAACAAAACCTTACATGGCTGAGCAGAAGGCTCAAATTCAGACTGCTGTACAGAGAGTGAGTTACAGCATTACACAAAAACTCTGGCCTAAAGCCCATCACTCTCCCAAACACCACTCTGGTTCCCAAGATGTCAGCATGTTTCTTGCAGCACACTGGCTATGACATTGACAACAACAGCATTTCATCTTGCATTCCTAGGGAACTCAGCATAAAAGGGACAGTCATGTTTTCTCTTAGAAAACAAGTTGGTGGTCTACTTGGACACAGGATTGTTGCCCACACTTGTCTGCATTCATAGAGTTTTAATGCAGCACACAGAGTGAGCTTCATCAGCAGGAAACCAGATGTGCTAAAGCTGTTTGGAGCACAATCTGTCCAATCATCACAAACAAAACCTCTTCCATGACTACACGACTGATTCCAACAACAAGTCTTTCTTCCTTCACAAATATACCAAGGGTGAAATAAAAAGGAAATCTTAGAGTAAGCCAAAGTTTAAAAAAAAAAAAAGCTGAATGTCATTAGCACATACAAAATTGAATCACTTTCATGCACTTAAAAAGCAACATGAGTCCTATATTTTACATGTTTTATGTTCAGATAAACCAGTTATGTGACATTACCAGTGAAACTGATTTGCCCTGAGGCTACACTATTCTGATGAGGACAAAAAAAAGATCCATGTGACATGTAAAATGTGTATTTTCATGGTCTTTTGTTCAGAAACCTTCATACCTTTACTAGTTTCATTCACTAGCACCGTTATTTTACATATCTTATGAATCTTATGCAGTAATTATGTGTCCTTCCAACATGCAAGGCTCTCACCAGGTGACCATGGAGCCATTCGACCAGACTATCAGCTGTGGAGTCGGGGATCTGGCAGCGTAGACTCTCCCTTTCCTCTGTGTCCATCAACTCCAGGACGCCCCTAAGGTCTTCCAAAAGGTGAAGTGCCCGCAGGTTGCCCATGAAAGGAGAGGTGGGTGACTGGCAATCAAACAACCCATTGGAGTAGTCCAGAGCCTTGGAACCTGAGGTGAAGAAGCACAACAGAAGAGAGGAAAATATTAGGAGGAGCTAGAATTAAAACACAGACAGAGATCAACCAGCTCATACTTCACTAAGTAATTATTCGGAAGGTTTTAGATTAAAGCTACTGTTCTTAATAGTACAGCTATACAGTATAATTGTACAAATTTAATATTGTACCATTGTTGAACATGGACAGAATAAATGCTTGACACTCTCTGACAAACATAGAGCTCTACAAATTACGTGATAACTATCTAAAATGTCAGCTGTGCAACAAACCGTAACAAGACACCAGATGGACTCTTATCAATTTTAACTCAACCTGGAGGAGTTATATAACACGTCCAGGTTAACTCTATATACAGTCCATTAGGTAATCATAACCCTTCAATTTTTTCACATTTTGTTATGTTGCAGACTTATGCTAAAATAAAACAAAATCTTTTTTTCTCCCTCATCAATCAACACTCAATACCCCATTATTTTGCAAATATATAAAAAAGGAAAAACTGAAATATCACATTGACATAAATATTTAGATCATTTGCGAAGACATTTGAAATTTAGAGCAGATCCTTTAGCTGCTTTTTTGCAAACTTTCACTGAGGAGTGGATTCTGTCTGACTCTGCCATTCAGCCCAGATCAGTTGAGTGTTGCATTGATAGTTGTCCTTCTAAAAGTTTCTCCCATCACAATTTTTCCTCAAATTTATTTTTTTGAGTTTAGTATAAGGCTGATTCATAAGAAAATGTGAAAAAATTGAAGGGTTCTGAAAACTCTCTGAATGCAGTGTAACTCTATATAGCGTATATATCAGAGGCTGTTGCTTTATGCTTTAACATGACAGGAAAAAAAGAAATCACAACATAACTGTTTGAAAGAAATGTTATGTTATATATATGTTATTCCACAATGCCATAGGAGAATTTTACCTGCTATAATGCCATCCATCTGTTCCAGAGCGGCTGCCAACATGTCGCTGGCATCAGACATCATCTTCATTCACTGATAAATCTGGAAGGAGACAATTAGACCTTGTAAAAAAAAAAAAAAAAAACATCCACCCTGTATTTTAGTCATTTTGAAAACTGAAAATTATTATTTTAACTGTTTTTCTGAAAAGCATCAGAATAAAGATGTTGCACTGATATGATGCACTGAAATGCACTATAATAAAAAAAAAAACAAAAAAAAAACAGGTGAGGCAGTGCATTTCAATAACATTTTATTTATTAAAAGACACTGGACTTGCAATGTGCCTATGACACAAAAAGAAAATAAGGAATCTGAAATAAAACATGAAGGAATTTAAAATTAAAACATTTATGTTTATTGTGACTACAAGCCAAGCACTAACACCCATGCAGTAACAATAACAGTTTAGTCTACACAATAACAAATCACTGTGGCAGCAGCTCTGTGTGCTTGAGATGTGAATTTCAACAGTGTAGGAAGAGGACAAATCCAGCAAACCAGCTACAGTTGTATTCAGCTTTCTAGGCAAAAAAAAAGTGCAGTTACGTTGGCGTTAAGCATGTCATTACAAAGCATTCCCACCCAGGAATTAGGCTATAACTGTAGTACATCCTCAGCAACCCTCTACGCCTAAAAAAAAGACCATGCCTGGTAAAATAGCATGTTTGTGAGATGGGTTTGACTGTATAAAAATGGATAAGCTGAGTGAGATCAAAGAAAAGCACCTCATCAAAAGTTATATGATATCATGCGATAACCAGGGTATGAAGCAGCTTAGAAAATGAAAAAACTTGCATGCTCTGCTCTCTTGAGCTCTATGCAGCAGAGATCGTATGTACATTTTTTCAGAGTAAGACTAATGAATAGTGCATTTCAGAATATCAATTAGGCCATTTACCTAAAATACTGGCACAATAAATGTCCTGCCAATGGGACACTGGACACTCTGTTTGGAGCTGAGTGAAGATACATTTTAGTGTCCCAGTCTTGGACATCTGCCCAAACAGCACAGCAGTCCCTTTCTCTCTGAGTGTTTAATCAAAAGGCTTTGCTGTATATTCATGCATGCACAAACATGCATGCACAGACACTCATTTGCACACTCACACTCACACTCTCTCACACACACACACGCACACACACACACCTTTTCCTTTAATCAGCTGCCTCACATCCTGGGAGTGCCCAACACTGGGATGTAGGACCATTTTCAAACTTTATGGAAACCACCCACAGACCTTACACTGTTATTTCAGCATTCCTGTGGACACTTTTTCCATTATGTGTAAAATAAGCAAGCGCTGAAATGTAAGGATTGTCACAACAGTAGCCTGAGAGGAGATGAGAGGAACCAGCATGCCATCAGTCAGCTCTGCAGTAAAATGCTCAGTGGTTTCCAACAATAAAATTCTGAATGGGTAAAAATACGTCTCCCACTGCCTACAGTAACTGCTTGTCCCACTTCTACAAATGGGACAAGCAGACATACAGTATACCATGACATTTGAAAAAGGCACAGTACTATACAGAATCTAACAGTTATTCCCGAAAGACAGGAAGGTGATCTGCTGTTTGGGAAACTGAGTCATTTCAGCAGAAGCACATCAGTCGCATCTTATCAGAATTGAATAGCAAATTAATTATTTTCTGAATTCATAGATTAATCATTTGGTCTATGATATGTCAGAAATTCCAAAAAATACCCAGCACCATTTCCTGACAGCCAACATCAAATAGATTATTTTGTCCAACACACCAAAAAACATTATCAATTGATCTTCAGATAATTTTCTCAATTAATGGTTTTGTCCCTAAGAGCTGGTGATCTGTTTCAATACCTTGTTGAAGTTGACCAGCGTTCCAAAATCCAAAGATATTCAGTTAACCATGATATGACAAAGAAGAGGATCAAATCAAATCAGGATCAAAGAAGCTGGAGTAAAGACATTTAGTAAGACATTTTTGCTTGAGAAATGACTAAAACAATTAATCGGTTTATCAAAGTAATTGGAGGGTAATTTTCTGTTGATTATTTTTTTCATCTTAATGTAGATTGCTATCACATAAAAGAAAGATGTGAAGAAAATTAAGATTTAGATTTCAAGATTTAAAAGCTGAAATTAAAGTATAATTAGCTTTAAAAAGTACTTTGACGAATAATCGAATCAAAATTGCAACTGATTTTTTCTATTAGTCAACTAACTGATTCATCAACTAATAGTTTCAGCTCAGAAATAATGTTGGAACAGACTTTGCCTGAATGCCAGGATGGTTTTACTTTTCCAATAGACAGAGCAGATTAAGGACAGACCTTCACTATTGTGACATCTCAGAGTATTTACCCATGCTGCAGTGGATCAGGAGGATTCAGGAATCAGAAGTCGGAACAACTACAGCCAAGTCACTATACTCCAACAACAGATACAAAAGTAGAAATCCAGTCTTGAATAGCAGACGGCAGACAGAGTTTGGAGCAATACTCAAACTGGAATGAAGGCCTGCAGGGCATCCCCCTCAAAAACCTGAGTCAGCTTTTCTCTCACACCAGAAAGGCAAATATGGGTAAGGTTAACACATGGCTTTCAGCAAACAAACTTCAAACACACCAGGCCAAGACCAGACATGCTGCTCGGAAACCTGCTGCCCATGTGTCAGTCAATGCTAAACAAGTGTAAAGACTTTGTCTTAGCACTTCTATGGCTTCATCCTGGATCCAGTGGACACAAAGTCCAGCACAAAGAACACCTAATTACAGAGAACTGCACTGTGTCCTCAAGTGCTGGGATGCCTCCATGGTATGTGAGTCATATGTAAACAAAAGAGAGTTGTCTAGGAAGCAGACAAGGTGACTTTGCCTACACTGTCTTTACTACACAAAGACTACAGGCCAGTGTGTCTCTTAGGTCAGCAATTAATGATTATTTTCTCAATTAATCCTTTAATCAATTGTTTATAGAATGTTAGAAAACAGATGGAAAATGTGGGCATATTGCTATCAGTGTAAAACCAGGTTAACCATCATACATGACAAAGAAAAGCAAGCAATCCTCACACTTGAACAGCTGGCACCAAGTGTTTAGCATTTTACTAGAAAAAAGGTTTGAAATGATTAATCAATTATCTGAATAGTTGCAGATTCATTTTCCATCAGTTGGCTTTTTGACTAATCTTTTCAGCTCTATTGTTTTAATTTTTTTGTGAATTACAAGAGAATAAAGGAGGGTGAGATCTGTACCCCTACCAGCCCTGAAGTATTTATTCCATCTGTGCAAGTTTACTATCAAAGGAGACATCTCAAAAACATCCTAACAAGCAAGAATCATTCTCAAAAACAAAGTGTCACTGTCTGCCCTTCTATAAGCACCACTTACCACCAACCATAAGACACACAGAGATGGCTATTGTTCATGGTATAAGGGTATTTTGACTGAAAGGCATGAGAAGACAAAAGACAGAAAGAAAAACTGCAAGGCATCGCTACAGTACGCATGGCATTTGCAACAGCACCTGCCTGCCTCCTGCTTCTTTTCAGACCCAAAGAGCCTCAAAACAAAACTGAAGAAAAAAAAAAAACATTCAAAAAGCAATCTTGCCCTTTGGTGAAAACAGCCATATAATTCATGGAGACATGCTCAGAATAATGAGCACAAGGGGGGGAGAGTGGATCACTATAATGGCTTTTCAGATCCATCAGCTCTGGTCCCTTCAGGCAGAGAGAGAACCATCACAACCCATCCTCACTGGGCTCTCGACAAAGAGCTCAAGTATAAAAAAAGACAGAATCTTGTAATTCCTCAGTTGAATGGCCTGCAAACTATGGTGTTGCACACACAGGAAATAGAAAACAAAATAGAAGCATCAGAGCCACTTGTCTCTGAGGGAGTAAAGTGTTTACAGCAGCCATGCAACTGGCTTTAACAGCCTGTGTTGAGATGAGTTGCACTGGTGGTAAAAGGGCCTGGGGAGAGAGGATTTTACAATCCAGACATAAATCATACAGCACTTTGCTTTAGTTTTTCTTTTTTTATTTGAGGTTACAAAGATAAATCTGTGGACATGAGGGGATAGGTCCAAGTTTCACCACATAATGACACTTTCCATGTTTTGATTCATGCAGGCCTTGACCTAGTCTTTACCTTCACACAATGTTTCCAAGAGAAAAAGCTTAAATCTGACTGGCATACCTCATCCTGTTTTACCTCACACAGTGAATGCTCTATTCAATGCTGAAAACCTCAGAGAATGCTTAAGGGTAACAAAGTTAGGTCTTTCTTTAGGCATCATCTTCTGTAGGTGTATTATGGCACAGTGGTGTGCCATAATAATTATATTATGAGCAAATCATCAGCCGCAACTTAATCTCGTGATGGGGCTAATGTTATTGTCTCCAAGTGTAAGGGTGCATGAAATGAAGCATTGCGGTTAGAAGGCTGTGTGCAAAGATTCACTGGGTGCAGACACAGTCGAGGCATTCATCAGCTGCCTGCAGGGCGCTGCTCTGGAATAACCTGTAGCTATTTCCAACCTAGGTACGCAGGCAGAATACACCATCACTAATTTTATGCCACCAAACAACAACGCCTATATGAAAACAAGATATGGGTGTAGAGCTAAAGGAGACTTTTCTCTATCTTCAGACAGCCTGGAACTAAAAATAAGAAGCACACAAGGTAATGTGATACAGTGTAAACACAATGAAAAAAGATGGATTTTTTTCTTTTTTTTTTTTGGAAAAAAGAACCTCCATGCGATAAAATCTTCAAGATTTTTTTCTGCCTGCATGTATGCAAAAGATCACAACAGCAGTTCATTTATGTTGGACAGCATTGCACATTCTTTTCATATTACTCACAACTGCACTGCTTGTGCCTTAACTTGACTTATAAGTTAGTAATCTTCTTTGACATCTAGTCAAAAAGAAATGCAACACTGAATAGTACACATGTGGAGCAGAGGGTTAGGTTATGTAAATCAAAACAGCTGAAGGTTACACAATTGTTGGTTTGCTGTGTACAACTCCACCACTCCATATTAGTAAAATAACTAAAACACTTGTTTGTTGCAGTTTTGCAGGCCAGATTCAACTTTTTTTTTTATCATTCTTCCAACATAAATTCCTTGCATTTTTTATACAGTAAAGACAGGAAGAAGCTGTAATAAGGAGCCCTGGGGGTTTCCCTAAAATCAGAATAATAATTAACATATTGAAGGTAAACTCCAGAGTTAAATCACACAATCAGACACCTCAAACATCACACCTAACAACCTTATGAAATCTCCTCCACTGCACAGGCAGGAGTAAATCAGTGTAAAAACTATTAAATTGATGGGGATATAGTGGGTCCTGCAGGATCATTATGTTGAGAGCATCTGGTATCTGGTTTGCAGATATTTTTGTTGTTTTGGAAAGCATTTGAAAAGAGAGAGCAAACAGTTTTAAGAGGTCGACTGGAGGGCAATACAACAGCTGCTCAAATTCCATAGCTTTGAAAAAAAAAAAAACTCCGGACACAAACTCTAAACAACTCCCCTTAGTTTACAGCCTTGGCCAATTCACCTTTGATTAACACCACAAAATTCGGTACCGAAGTGAATCTCATCGGTCAGCTCCACCTAAAGGCAAATCAAAGTCTATGTAAAAAAGATATGGCCTCGGGTAATGGGATTGATTTACCACAGAGTGTGGCAGAGTCTGGAACTGTGGCAGTCATAAACTAATGTTAGACCGACTTTCTCACGTCAGGAATCTTTCGTTTAACTAACTGTTGTCCCATAGTTGAGAGGATGAACATCTTTGAGTGAAACCTTCGCATTACCTTCCAGATAAGGCTGGATGAAGTGTAATTCTGCGTTTACAACGTTTGCTCACAACTTTTTCTCACTGTGCGAATGTCCAAAAAAAGTGAAAAAAAAGTGGGAAAAAAAGTGAAAAAAAAGTGAAATCTTACTACCGGTAACTTGTGGCTATGCCCGAAGCCCCCTGAGTGTATCCCATGAGGTACAAGGGCCGTTTGGGAACCGTTAATACAATGTCAGCATCGTAAAAAACCTAAAAAGTGACCGTTTAAAGTTAGTAAGCTGGGGAAACGTGCACATTCATCTGAACCAGCCACAGCAGCCGTTTGTTTCGACAAAACGTTAGCAACCTCCTCCTAAACCTGAGTTACTGGAAATAATAAATCACATTTAAAACATTAACAAACTCACTTACCGAGACTCTGCTCCAAGAGATAAATATATTTCCGTTAGTTTTTTTTCCTATATGATTTAAAATAATTCCACAATATTCGGTTTCCAAACTTCTCCGTACCCACCAGAACTACCCCGCGTCGGTCGACATCGCTACGCCATGATGTCGAAGTGACAGGGTTGCTGGAAAACTTTGGACGTCACAGCTGGAAAATCCCGCCCTGCTGCCGCCTGGATTGGCCTGGGAGCAGCCACTTCTTTATATGATGCATTCACTGTAGCATGGAAAAGATGGGAGATGAGACTTTCTTGCTGGACAAACCCGTCCACTGTTAATGTCAACAATGAACAGGATACAAAGATTACTTGAAAGCAATGGATCTTTATTCCTCTGTTTATTCCCGTGAAAGCTGACCAGGAATAATCACAATAAACAGTCGCTTCCTGGCCCACCGCATCTAAGTCAATAACGCAAGGAACTTTCCATGTTTTTGCCGAAACTAAAAGCAGCATATTCCTCAAAGTCTGGGAGGTGCCTGCATTTCAGTTTTAAACAAGCAAAGGCGACATCAAGTGGTGTTTAGGTGTCAGTGGTGGAAGAAATATCCCTTATCCTCGCAAACTAGCAAACACCACAATACAAAAATAGTACGATATAAGAAAAAGTGCTGAATTTAAAGTTTTGTATAAGTAAAAGTACAGAAATATTAACAACAAGAAGTTCTTAAAAATACTTGAAAAAAAAAATCTGGAAAGCATCAAGTGACTGTCTCATCTGTCACATACAATAAATAAGTTGACCAAAAACTACAATATTTCCAACTGCATTGGAGTAGGCTAATTGTACTGAGTGGCATAAAATGGAAATACTCAAGTAAGGTACAAGTACCTCAAGATTGTAGTTAAGTACAGTACTTGCATTAAATGTACTTATAGTTACTCTCCATTGCTGGTATGTATCACCGTAAGCATCTACCAATGAGATCCAGACCTGGACAGCAGGAATAAATCAAATACCACAGGTATTCAGGGAAGATAGAACAGGTCCCTGGTAATCAAAGGCAACTTAGAGCCACAGTTTTGTGACATCACTGCAAATGCCATTACAACATGCTTGCTCAAAATGTATTTATTAACTTGGGGTATGTTACCTTGTGCAAATTAATCTGGCGATAAGTGCAGGATGGATAATATAATACAGTAGGACAAGTAAAGTGTCAGTGTGTTATGACAGCCATGATTTATTCTATAAGGAGACACATTCAGATACAGAGAAAACAATGAAAACATCATGAACAAACAAAGCATTGATCAAAACTGCAGCAGAAAAAATATTTCAAAATAAAACAAGGCAGAAATGATTCCTTTATGAATATTACAAGCAAGCATTTCCTAGTGCTCTCCTTTGTCTACCTTGCAGTTACTCAACAGACATTGATATAATTTGTCGCATTAAATGGAAACTGTTGCTGCAATGACTACAATTTCTTTGCACCCAGTGAACAGAATACTCCATTTCAGGTCAACCATGGGTCCCCAAAGCGGTGTCCCTCCTCAGGGGCCTCTCCACCTTCACGGTACTGGGGTCACATTCCAGCATCTCTCTGATCCAATCATCATCCAGCGCTCCCTCTATGAACTCCTCTAGACTGATGATGGCTACAGACATAACAAGGACAGGCAGTGATTAGAGACAAAGAGCAGAGGACAGACTCTATTAATATCATCTGGCTCTGTTCCTTCCTAAATCAATGCCAGCAAGATTTCTTATCAGTGAGCAGGAGTTCAATATGTTTTAATGCTTATTAACTATTGTGTTATTAAAATGTACAAATATATATAAATATACTTTTCAATTACTTTTTTCAAAATCAAATTTTATGTAAAGTCTTATGTTCAGCATTTAGAACAAATGCATCCTCCATTATATAACCCAGTTACTAGGAAAAGCCCAAACCTGTCCTCCTCACCATACCCCTGACATGTGTCTTGACCTAACTATCGAGTAGACGGTCAAACCTCGGCACAAGAAATATACACCCCAATATTTTGTGCACATTACACATACTGTGGTTGGATGCATTACCTCAGCTTTAGGTATGTGCTTGCTTCATCCCTCAAACTCTCTGACTGAATAATCATCTTAAAGACTTGTCCTAACTGGTAAAATAAATGTTCTTCAGGTTTGAATCACAGCAAAACCTCATTTGAAGGTTTTCAGAGTTGAAATAAAGTATTTAAGATGATAATAACTTTCTTAAAACCTGTTTATCATTTTTCATTCAGATGTTCCTTTTTTTTTCTTTATCTGAATCGTTATGGTTCCACATAGTCTTGAAAATAACACAGCAGATTGGAAAACAAATCCCCTTATTGAATGTTTTTGCCACATGGATCCAATAGTCCTATAAAATAGTCATCAAGTACATGAGGTTTATTCACTGAGGGGAAAAAGACACACTTAAATGCCCTGTATTGGAAGATTGTGCCATCCATTGTTTCATGCTGAAATAACACTACACCATGATTTCAAGCAGAAAGGGAAAATCATTTCCTCACCATTATTGTCTTTATCTAATCTCACAAATATCCTGTTGGTACATTCTTCAGCTGTGAGTGGGTTTGGTTTGGTCAAAGCAGCGGCTACACTCATTTTATAAACCGCCTGTGAACAAAGGGAAACACACACCAGTTCAACTGAAAGATGCAGTAACTGTGGCATCATCTTATGATATGCTTGAAACGTGCGACCTGACATGCACGCACGCACGCACACACACACACACACACACACACACCTGCATGATCTCCAGCATTTCCTCCTTTGTAATGGCACCGTCTCGGTCTTTGTCATAGAGCTTGAATGACCAGTGCAGCTTCTCCACAGCCGAACCTTCAATAAGCATGCTGATGGCCATGACATACTCTCTGAAATCAACCACCCCATCCTAAAGAGGAAACAACTTTGTTTATGGCATTAAAAAATATATATTTTCATCATTTATTCTATTTAGATATTATGGTGTTTATTACTACTTTCCTGTTAATGCTGTAGGAAAATTCCTGCTTCCAGACTCATCAGATATAGTGTGTGTAGTGCCATTCAGTGCTTTTCTTACTCCATTAGTGTCCAGTGTGCGGAATATCTGCTCTGCATACTCAGCTGACTCACTGCCCACTGTTCCGTTGCAGAAATGCCTTTGAAACTCATGAAGAGTGATCAGACCACTTGGACATTCATTAATAAACTTTCTATGAAGAAGAAGAAAATATTTGAGAAAAAAAGAAAGAACTGTCTCAGTTGTAATACACAGAAAACACGGAGGCCGTTTGGATAAAGAGTCAAGTTTGTAGCAGGAGAAATGTGTCCTTTAAATTGAGAATTAAGAGAATTAAGGTCAACCCATCCCGGACCTGTGGAGATTACCTGAGTTTGAAAGCTTGTTTACACCTTGGAATGTGAGTGCTATGATAATTAGGCCAAATGATTTTGAACCAATTTACTACAGCATGGCAACATGAAGCTAATCAGCAGTGTGTAGTCATGGAAATAAAGTAGGGATAAAGACATGATTCCTAAAGGTTATAGAAGTGCTCACATAGCAAAATTAAAGTAAATAAAGTAAAGAGGTCAAATGAGAAAGAAATCTAATAATCAAAAAGGCCAAGGAGATTCTCTGTAGATTTGTCTAGAATATAGATAAAGGTGTTCTCCATGAGAATAAAACATGTTTCCACTCCCTCTCCCCTGTCATTTACTCAAACAGGCCTCAAACCTTTTCTACTTCAATATAGATAACATACAGAATTACTTAAGTTTCTCTGTAGAAATTTCAAACGGTAAATAAAATCTTACCTGAACCATTCGTACAGCTCCGTAACATAAGACTCTCCCCTCCTGCAAGGCAGGGTAGCAGCTTGGCCCATTCTGTTAAGAGGGAGCAACAGCTCTGCATTCACTGCTGACTTTATATACTCAACAAATCCCAGCTTATGCCAGGCTTTCTTAATTGCACCAACCACTACTTTATCACATTTGACAAATTACTCAAAGCTAATCTCCTTGGAGGGGGGAACAATAAGGAAGGTTGTAAAGGTGCAGGAGAAGGCAAATGTAATTACTCAAAAAAGAAGGCTACTGCTTCTCAATCTGCCTCTGTAAGGACAGAAAACTGCAGAATGAAAAGTGGTAAGAGTTTGATGAAAAGTTTTGAATTCAGTGTGGCTGTTCACAAAATGTTTTTCCGGTATTTTCTGTTTGATCCAAAAACAGATATTTGAAAATATGCTCAGAGTTCCTGTTGAGGGTTTAGTAAACTAATATTTATTAACAACACGACAACCTGGGAAGACAGCCCAGACATGTTGAAAGTAGCAGCAATAATGCAATTAACAAATACAGTAAGTGCTTCCTCCTGGGCCCACAAATCAAACAAGAATGAACTTATAAAGTGGCAGGAAGTGGTACAATGGAGGCAGTAACAAACTCCCAACTGCCCGATATAAGCCCAAAGGTTAAGGTCCTTCCTCCTGCGCAGTGACAGTTGGCTGTGTCCGTCTTAACTTCCCAAGTCTAATGACGCAACAGATTTCAAAAACAAACAATAACAATAAATGATACAAGAACAGCATGCAACTAGACAGTAAAGGGGCATGAAATCAAAACATAATGTTCCCTATCTTACAAAGTGTACGGTTTTATTCCAAATGGAGACAGAAGAAAAATGTGTTACCTCTTTGCAAGGTTTATCACTCAGTCACCAAACAAGCTGAAGTGAGAGCAATGTTTAAGCTTTCTGGGCAAATTACAGCTATAATAGTGCAATGATTGAACAAGAGGAATGGGGAAAAAAAAAAAAAATACAAAATTGACTTTTTGCCTTTAAAAAAGGACCAGCCTGTGTCTATGGCACGACTCCATAGTTCTGGTTGTTTGGTTAGGTAGTGAGTGCCAAAGCCAACATGTACAGCTCCTGTTTCATCTGTGAACAAGCTTCCACTTCATTCATGATGTGCACAGTATGCCATGTTGCATCAAGTTAATCCAAAGATAACATTTTAGCCCTGCTTTCAGTCTGCAAAGGCGCCAGGTGGGAGGCGATCTCCAAAAGCAACACAGGTTTATTGTGTGTCCTAGCAGAAATGTCCAAAGGCACTTCGGACACAGGCAGGAGGGTCCTCGTGAGTTCAGCTGCTCCATCCACCGGCTCCTCGAAATTCAAGCATTAGAGAGAAAAGACAGTATTCTTCATGATTCACAACCACCATTTCTATCCTCGAAACTAGCGTTCTTATTGGAAAACCCTTAACAGATGACTATAAATTGTGGCCCACGTTACCAATATGAACAATGGCATGGCATAAAAGTTACACAGTTCCATATATTGACTATGTGGACAGTAATACAGTAATACAACTGCTATGTTTTTGACCGAGTTGTTTATGTACTTGATATTCTTTAAGTGTCTTGAAAAAAAAAAAAAAAAAAAAGACTGTCTTTCATTGCTCACTCAGTGTTCAACACTCTGGCAAACGAAATGTGATTTGATAAATGTAACATTTACAACAGTCTGTAGGGCTCGTTCATCTCTTAATTTTCTTTACTTCATAATTTGTAGACTCACTACATGTTGAGAAATATTTCAGTTTTTGATAACTTGAAATGGGGGATGTATATCCACACTGACAATAACTGGATATATTTTAGTCATTCAAATTTTTACCTTCCATCCATCCATAAGGCCATCTCACTGCCACACATACATCACATACACCACCATAGAAGTCATCACATAATGGCTATCAGTGTTGTAAAATCTAAGATGTGCAATTATAAAGGAGGGGCAAAACAGAACTCTAGATGAGGTAAATGGAAAAAGGATCCAAACAACTCAGTGACTTATTCTTACCAAATGTCTTATTTCGTCTGGAGTTTTTTTTTTTTTTTTTTTTGAGTCATGCATGATTCGGGAGTGACAATTACATGGAGAGAGAAAGAGACATAGCTTGAAGTTTAGGATTTATGGAATGATAGCTCTGCATAGAATAATCCCTTAAAAAAATGTATGCAGGTGAATGACAATGCTGTGTGCCTCTGACAGGCACATAAAACATGAACATGTCTTTTGAAAGACTGTCAGTGCATAAAGGTACATGGAAAAAAAAAAATCTATGGCTTACCTGCAAGATTATAAAGCAGACAATGAGTGACAAATCAGATGTACATGTGAACAAGTTCAGACTCATTACACCACATACCAATATACAGTATGTAGGAAAGTATTTTAAAACTTAAACTGGCAGACAAATACTGCTACACGTACTAAGAACTGTGTCATCGTATGTTTACATGGGGCGGATTTGCTTCCATCGCTCCCTGAGTTTATCACTTCTACCATGAGACTCAACCTCAAACATGTATTAATAAAATGTCACAGATGTGAAATGGGTTTGCTGTTCAGCCGTTGCTACCAAACTTCCATTTCAGCACCTCTAAAGTGCTGTTTCACTTTGCATTAAGTAGTACTGTAGTGCTCATAAATCTATAGGAGTTCATGAAGGGTCAATCACCAAAACTGACTGCTCTCTTTATTTATGAGGGTGGATACTTTCTGCCAGGAAATGGTAAATGTGTAGAGCTAGTGTAAATAAAATCCAGGGCAGTCGTAGATGTATATACTATGTATATACAAATGTAGATATATATACTAAAAATTAATTAAAATATTCTTCCTATGCAAACTATCCCTTTAAGACAGATATGGCCTGAAGACATGGTGTTTGCAATCATACCAAATGTACACATATACAGTATGTTCAAGTCAGTGTACAAGAGAGGAGGTTACTGGACCGTTTCAATGGAAAATGTTCAGATACTGACAAGTTAAGAGAAAATCTCTGAGTGACACATTATAAAGTGACTCTCAAAGTTAGAGGTTATGGAAGTGTGGTCTTCCGTGGTACACTGCCTACCTACGGTTTGGATCCTGAGGGGTCACAGAGATGGGCCTGGTTGTCATGGTGTCTTCCTTTAACCATACAGTACCTAATCAAATTACATCTTTTTTTTATTTAAAAAACATGAAATCGATTCAGTGCAATTTCTTTTTTTTTTTTTTCTTTTTTTTTTGCTTCGTCACTCCGAACCTTTGTTCAAATGTCAGTGAGGAGAGAAATACAAGCAGGAAACCCGAGCCGCCATGACGCAAGCCCTTTCACTGTCATTTGTGTTCATGGGTTCTTCAACCTTGTAAGAGCCTCTTCAGTTAAACAGAGGATGACAGTAGATGTGAAGAAAGCAGTGAGGAACAGCGTTTCAGGGCAGGCAGACCGCTGTAAGGCTTTAGAGGCAAATCCTCCTTTTGAAGAGGGAAAGCAGTTGTCCCTTATTGTCATCGATCCCACTCCTGTTAGAGCAGCCACCCGAAGACTACACAGCTTATGTGGAAAAAGGTAACTAATAAATAAAAAAAAGTCTTTAAAAAACAGAATGCTCTTGGAGTAAGCATTCAAGTTCTTGTCACCAAAAAACTGATGGTCCAACAACTGTGCCACAGCGTCACACTGTAAGACCAGATTCTATAAAGACCAGTGCATCTCTTCAAAGTCCACAGCTTCCCCCAAATTTGTGTCCGTCTCCAGGAGGCTCATGATCACTGCCATGGCTGCTTCATCGTTGCTGAGACTACTAAGGCCTGGTCCAACCACACTGTCCAAATCCAGCTGGGAATTCTCCCCTGAGGTGAGATGAGGTGACAGAGGGGAAAAAAACACCCAAGATGATAAGAGTTAAAAGAGGAGATAGTTAAATATTATCCTGCATACAGTTTATAAATAAGCTATTCAACAGGATGAGAAAGAGTACCCATGAGTGTTTCTCCTCCTGAGAATGTAGCTCCCTGGGGCTCATCCTCTGAGCTGGACTTTCCTGGCATCTCCATGTCTGTTGCCTCTCCATTTGGCACCTACAGACCAAAAGAGAAGAAGATTATAGACCCAGCATCAACATGACAGGGGTTTAGTCAAGAAAGAAGAAAAAAAAAAAAGAGGAAAGACTCAAATCTATGCTCGTTAAATTATGCCTTCCAACGTTTGGACGAACTTCACCATAATTTCCAAGTACATACAGCTGTGATTGCTTCACATTATGGTTGGTCTACCTCTAAAAATCTTTTCGCAGAGATGTTTAAACAAAGGAGGCAGAGAAACATGTAAAACCACACTGAGCCTGTAGAGTCAAAATGCTAGTTTGGAACATATTTCTTTGTAAACATCTTCTGCATGGTTTCGTTAAGACAAAACAAAAACAACAACAAAAACATTTTATTACAGATAATCACAAAAGGCAGCTGTAATCATCACCTAACTGGATGATCAGTTCAAATATAAATATCAAATATTTACTCCCCATTCATCTACTGCAAAACTAAATCTTTTACAGATTAAATTCACATTTATTCATTCATTAATTTATTTAGTCATAAGTATTTTTACTGCATTTGGCCAAATATTGGGACAAAAAAAAGTTATGTTCCCATAATATTAAAAGCATATTTATTGTCATTTCAACTTGAAGCAGCAAGTTGTTGATTGAGCAACTTTGTAAACGAGTGATAAACTTCATGCGAAGTAGGTAAAAAGTATACTCTACAATAGGCTTACTTCCCGTGGAAATTACTCACTTGTATGCATATATAGTATTTTTTAAAACTTAATATGCACAGCAGCTTCATAAATTACAGTAAGCCATTTTGGACTGGACTCGTCTGCAAAGTTTCATGTAGTTCTGTGAATGGGAAGGAATTAGTTTGAATTGTGGGCTGTGCCACCTCATTAATGACTGGGACAGATGCAACAATAAAAATATGAATGTATAGAAACTTACATTGTTGCTCATTTGATTGTGAGTTTGTGGAGACTTATCCTGTGGCAAACTGAACGGGCTGACGTTACCACTGGAAGGTGATGAGTTCATCCTAAAGCAGCACAGACACAGATGAATTATTGTCTACAGTATCTCATAAGCATTAAGAAGAAAAGGTAGTTGCAGTTGTAGAATTCTACAATTATCTATAACTATCTATCACTGGACATGCTCTGTTGTTGTGAGGCCACACCTGTTGAAATCCAGGAGCTCATTGGCAATCTGGGTCCCTATGCTTCCAGCATAAATCATAGTTCCAGGTGTGTTGGAGATGCCTGGTATAATCGGAAGGGACTTCTTGCCATCTTCTAACAAAAACAAAAAGTTGAACGCGACAGAACAGACCAGGAGACATGTACATGTCACAGTGTGTTATGACTACACAACCAGTATCTTTGAGCATCATTGTACACTAAAGATATCAATGACACATCTCCATTGATTTTTTTCATATTCTATTTAAACTGACCTTCAGAAGTCTTGGAATTGCTCAGCTGTTCAGACTTGTTTCCCGACCTGGTTCGACTGTTATCATGTCTTGTCATTGGATGAGAGAACAGATGAAGCACCCATTAGTATAAATCTATCTCAACTACAAAGATATTAATTTAATGCACAACCAGACTGAAGCATATACTCACGATATGACTGTATTAGTTGACACTATGTATTCTACTTCTTTGGTCCAGGGATTTACAAAACTAAACCACTGACTTTGCAGAGTGACGAAAGAGCCATATTTTGTTTTGAACTTATAACAGTTTGTCTCAATTTTCTCTTTACTCCGCAGCACTACGGAGGAAAAACAGTGAGAAGACGAATCAAAGGACTAAACAGGGAAAAAAAGAGCATCAGTATCACCTGCTTAAGGCAGAGCACGCAACAAGCACAGGACTAGCAGATATAAAATATGAAGAAACCATCCGGATTCTGCAACAGTCATCTACTTAACAATAGATCAAAATGGATGGAAATTTATTATATGATTTACCAGTGCTTCAACACTGCAGCTATATTGTAAATTAGAATTGAATCTGAACTGGCCTCTACTAATTGTAGAATGTCGCACTCATCTTAGCAGACACTGAAAAATCCTAACACGATATCCAAGATAATTAGATTAAAGACAAATGCAATTTACCTTTTCGATGTCTATCTGCTAAATGCGGTAAGTCGTCTTGATGGAAGTACTCATAGCATGATGTCCCAAGCAACTCTTGGGGAAGATAACCAAGAATGGTTGTCGCTCTGCAGATGAAATGAATAAATACACAAGTGTATCATGTTAGTATGAATTACATATAAACATGTACTATATTATTTAGAATATGTCATGCACTTGATTTGTAAAGCTTTGATTTCACTTTGACATCCACAGTTTCTGTTGATCAGTGTCAAAGATGTTAGAAATGTCAATGGAGATATCTAACATGTCAACGATTCTACAATGCGTCAACAAAGCCATGCACCAAGCAAATACAATATACAAACACAACTGAAATACAATTCTACCTTTGATCGACAAAGGTGAATTTGCCATCCATGGCATAGCGTGTGATGAACTCTGTTGGTTTAACTCGGACTTCTCCGTTAACCTGGGGAGATGAGTGGGAGTGGACGCGTCCCACCGCCACCAGGCAGCTGAAGTGGGAGCTGTCCTGCTTGTCCGCCTCGCCCTCCCCGTCTGCTCCCAACTGACTGGTTGGCCAGCTGCGCATGTAGCCTGTACAGTGGACTGTGCAGTACTTCTGCGACTCTGTAGGCGCACATGCAGACACAAATCACAAGTCAAATATGACATACACAGAAAACACACATATATAAGTTGGTTACTTTACATCAAAACTGTGTACCTGATAAAACTTATATCAGCTGTTATACATTAAACCAAATGAAAACCCTGACTGTACAAAAGTGATCTGTTGTGTAATCCACCGTGTACTCTCCCTACCTTTCTTTTTGGAGGTGCTGGCCTGGAACTCCTTCTCCTCCACTTTGACAGAAACTTTGTTGTACTTCATGCGGCAGAAGAAAGAGCGCCGTGCACCTGAACACAGCCGAGCTGCACCGACTGGGAGGTCAGCCTGGACCTGCAGACCGGCTGGGGACATGACAGTAGTGTTAATATGCTCTCACTCGCGCAAGTGCGCACACACACCACACACACACCAAACTGCTTTACTTTTAGCATCTATTAGTCGTTCACGAGGGTATAATTCAGAAGCTGACAGCTGCTCCTTCACTTTTCCCATGTCCTTGGGGTGTATGTAATCAAACAGGCTCTGTCCGATCAGCTCCGTCTGTAGGAAGAAAAAACAGCTCATCAAACCGACCTTAACATGGTTCCGATGCTGATAAAAAGAAATGTCAAAACCATTCTGCATCTAAAGCAATTCTTGCTTACAATTAACAAATTTAACATAGTACACTGATTGTGGACTGTTGACCCCGGAGCACACCAGATACCAAGTGGAGGAGAGGTTAAGATTTTAGTAGGAATGAGGAAGACGGCTATTTCTCACAGCTTTGAATGTCCATTTACTCCGGTTGTCAAAAATATCAACACCGATTGGAAGTTCAGATGCACCAACATCCTCATTTTCATCATCAGAGCAGTCGCGTGCGTTGACCTAGGATTTATTTCCAGCCAGCATTTTGAATTGTAATTTGACAATTTTTGGAAAAGCCCAAAAGATCTTCATGAGTGAACCATCAGAATCACTTGCATATCATTTTGAAAATGAACCACGAACTAAGGGAACCAACTATATTGGCTTACAACCAATGATTTCAATGGTTGCAATTTTGTGCCTTGTTCTTTAAATTTAAATACTAAATTACATACAAAAGTTTTAGGATTCATTTGACATTCATCCTAACATGACTTCACACAGACACATTTATGTGCTTAAACGACACAATGCAAATATAAGAATCAATTTGGTATTTCTAAACTGTACTGTAATGAAATGCGTGCACATGAGGCCAAACGTGTCACTACAGACCCCTGCAGGGCAACGCAACCCATCTGGTGTGTCCGGGGTTTTCTCATGAACAAAGATACTGCAGATACAGTAACAAATGTAAAAGTGTTACCCGACTATAATTTAATATCTTCGTGACGGACTCTGAGACAAAAACTATTTTCCCACGATCACAGCCCACTACAAACAGGAACCCATCTGCAGCCTGCACAACAAAGAAACATGGGGGAGAATAGGGGGGAGCCAGTGTGATGACATGGTCAAGACAAAAGTAAGAGGCCACTGAGTAAATAGTTTTATTTTATATGTCTATCTTATTGTATTTAATAGTTTTTCAAATGAAATAGAAGCATTTTAATCAATTATAATACTACACTACTTGAAATTCAATGCATGTTAAGAATTATGAAGATAACATTGTACATACTAACAGTAGAAAAACACAAAGCCAAAAAAAGATCATTTTGGTGTTGTATGTTTTGTATGTTTCTGATGAATGGAGCTTACAGCAAAGCTGGGACACTGCCACCAGCAGAGGTTTGTAACCTGATCAGTAGCTTTTGAATGAAATGTTTAAGATGTCCTCATGTGACTGACAGCTTACAAGCTTATTTTTGCATTAAGATCACCTAGCAGATGCCTGAAATAATTATCTTAAAAATAAAAAAGTATTCCATTACAGTGACTGTTTCTCAGACAGTGTGCACATATCAGCTCCCACTGTCAAAGGTATATTTACCTTGAGGACAAGGTGTTTCAGCTCCTCATTAGGAAGGAATGACGGCTTATAATTAGCTTCAGAAAATGAACTTGCTGAACCTGAAAATATAGACAGCCAGTTCAATGTCAGATTAATACATTACAATTAGTAAATGGAGTAAAAGGATCATTCTTTTTTTTTTCATTAAAACCTAGATCTTATTTTCAGAGTTTTAAGCCATCAATCTTATCTGTAATAACAGGGTAAATTTACTGTTGAGATAGGAGCATCACTAAAAACCATCACTACCAAATTTTATGTGTTTTCACTTTCAGTTTTACCTCCAAATAAAGTGCTCTAGACAATATGCCTAAACTGTAGGCTTGTTTACCACCTGTGGGATTGTCTGACTGTTCATTTCTTGCCAGATGGACTTTGTTTGTAGCAGTTTTCTTGTTTCCAAATCTCAGCAATTGCTATAGTTAATATCATATGGAGAGTACAATGTTTTATAGCTGATAAACTGATGGCTAAAACTATAAAAAGAAAACCTAAGTTCTCAGAAACTTGAATCATCTGTTTATTAACTGAATCTATCAGTGATGACAATGTCAGGCTAAAATATTTTTTAACACTGCTGGCCATCGATTGACTTGGTACCTTTGAGAGATTTGAGGTGCTGCACAGCCATTCTGAGCACAGTGAGCTTGTCCAGCTTACGAGACATGGGGTTACAAGTCGGAATCATTGCTGATAGTTTGTCTATGAGGTTGTTCATTTTGTCCCGTCTCCTCTTCTCAATTTGGCTGTGTGGCTCCCTGAGGAGACATGAATTGATAAATCATTTCAAGCGTTCAAAGGGGTTTCCTGCTTTGAATTTATAGAACATTGATCATTGTGAAATGTGGCATATTTTAAACTTGCATATGTTAAGACCGGAGATAACATCACGGGAACCTAGAAATGTTTTATAAATATGGTGGTGTCAAACAACCTACCTGATGCATTTAATTTTGACATGTTGGTCCTCTCCATCTGACCTGTAGCAAAGAAAAACCTATTTGAGAAGTATACATTCCAAGCAACAATATGCAAATGCACAATAGCACAAAATAAACTGAAGTGATTATCGATTAACAAACATAGTTGCCGATTAATTTTCAGTCGATCAACTAATCAATTACTCAACTAATTGTTCCAGCTCTACACACAGTACCTGTTTTGGTCGTCTTCCATATCTGCATCAGGGATGGAAGCAGATTTTGTATCCCTAGGAAGAAAGATAATGACTGTCAATAACACAATAAAACAATTTGGGTCAGTGGATTTATGAGATTTCCTTAAAGCCAGATTCAATAAATCACATTCATACTCACTGGTTGTCTATGCTGCCCTTGCGCTTCCGGGGCATCTCCATACTTAAGGACATGCCAGCAGCTGAGGATGGGGTCATCAGGCTGGACAGAGAGAGAGAGCTGCTTTGGTTTTCATCAACCAGCACATCCTCTGAAACACACAAAACATAATCAGCTGCAGGTGGTCATAAGGGGTTGAGAGCTGATTTCAGTTTGCAAACATATCATATATGTTCCCACACACTACTGCATTTCAGACTACAAGACTGTCAGATTTTACTTTCTCAGAAGTAAGTGAAAGAATCAATTGAATTCTCATGCCATGGGTTTGCCAAAACATGATCACAATGTTCTTATTAGGAGATCATAAATAACCTTAATCGGGCATTAACTCACAGACTGTATCTGTCATACCACTCCTTAGAAACAGTCTCATATCAGTCCTCATAATAGACTGTGTAGAATAGTATTAGTAAACAGGCAACAGAGCACTCCTTTTCAGGCTGTGGAAATCCGAAACGATGAAGGTGCCCAACAAATCCATCAGCCATAAGTGTGGGAAATAGCAGCAGCTAAAAAAAAAAAAGCCAATCACAACCTCCCCCATAACTTTACTCAAACCCATGATCAGCCACATAACTAACTCATAACTGGTTGTTCTGGTGTAGCTGCTTTAGTTTGGCTTGAGGGAATCTCTGCTTCTGTGCATGAGTTGCAAGTTTCTCTGCACAGAGGCTAGGCCAGCACAGCATTGTTATTTCAGGGATTTAAGGTCTAATACATTTCGGCATATGTTAATTCAACATTCAATTAAAAGGTGCAACAAAAATAGATTTTCATTATCAATTACTGTATTGATTTCAAAAGAATGAAATATTCTCATCACAATGTCCCTTGACCCAAAGTGACATGTTCAAATTGCTTGTTTTGTCAAACCAACAGTGTAACAGTGTATTGATATTACTGCGATATATCACAGATATCCAAGATCTAGGACAGAGATGTTTTCACATTTTGTCTGAGAATGTGTGAAAATATCTAAGGTGTATATTGTGTGTATGAGTGCTTTCAAATCTCTTTGTTATATCTCCCTTTGACTCACCCCCCCACTTATACACATCTTTATATCTCCATGGACTGTGATTTTGTCTCTCAGAAGTATGTGAGCATATGTGTGGGACAGTAACTCAAGAGAACGGCACGAGACAGACCAAATGTAGGTGATATCCATGACATCTATTTTTAACTCTGCTCCACAGACCCTGTAACCCAAACAGCTGTTAAAAAGATCAGTAACAACCTGATTTTTAATCCTACTACCCCTGTAACGTTTTGTTGGATTACAGGGTTACAGAGAAGGGAACTAGATTACTGGACATTACACCAAACAGACATCTCTCTGCCAACTCCCTTACATGTGTTCATTAACTTGCTCATTCACTCAATTCTGAATGAGCATCTGCTACACTGAAATACTGCCACACTCTGTACATCCTACTCACATTATCACAGAATAATAGCACCACAAGAATAATGGGTGTCTAATTAATTTCAGGTTTAAAAGTTATATTCTTAACAACAGCAACAACAATAGCAGCAGCAGCCACAGGACTAGAAACACAGACTGGGGCATGAGCTCCCCTGTGTCACCTTACTTCACATTCATGAAGTTAATCATACACACAAGTGGCATCTGCCCAGCAAATCCAGTCCATTTATGCTACTATGACGCACAGTAAAGGTTACATTTTCACCCGTGTCTATTTATTGGTTGGTTTGTTTGTCAGCAGGATTATGCACTTTTTAGATCTTGGACTTTAGTCATTGGACGTCTGGACATCTTAAGCTATCAGAAAAAACAATTTGATAACAGCAATTTGACAGTGTTAATGGAGCCTTTACCTTTGACAGAAACCATTAGTACAGTGAGACATTTTGTCAAGTAGCTAAGCCATCTCCATACTTACTACAAATATGAAACACTAATGTAATGAAAACTACATTGGAAGTATGTTATTTGCCAAAATGTGTTATATAACTCATCTAAAAGCATTTTAAGCACAGTCACTTGTTCAAATTGATTCCAGTTTTAGTAGATAATCACAGGAAGATAAAAAATACAACCAGTCTGTTGCATGCACGTCTCAGGAGTCTATTATTGTAACATAATAAATCTTTTATATTATGAATTCATGCAGTAACTAATATTAACGATCTTGTTGTTTGACCTACATTTCATGGTGCAAAACCACTGAGACTACACAAGTGACAAAAGGCATTGTATTAGCATTGGAAAACACACTGTTGACTTATTAAAATAATATCTTGATATATCTTATTATTAACCTAATACTTCTGTCCAAAATTTGCTTAAAATGGCAATGGTTGACATACATTTACCATAAACATTTTAAAGAGGTCTCTTGAAAACCATAAGCCCATAGTAGTTTTGTTAAGTTTGAACCCTGTGGTAGATGAGTCTGATGTTTCCTCATGTCTGTACGATAAATGATCTTCAAATGTTTTTGACTGAATGTGACTGGAAGGACAGACACATGTTGAAACCACAAATATGTCTTCCTGTGTAGTCTATCATAATTACGGTTGAATAAAAAAACATGTTTAGAAGTCTTGCGTTTATTTTGCTGGGTGAATTGAAGTCGGTCCGAAACTAATTGGTTTCGGGAAAGATCTCCTAAGTATATTTTTGACATCCAGGGTGGAAAATGAAATTGGCACAGCTAACTTACAATAATGCCTGCTTCGTCCTAGCCAACATCAGACAAACGGTTGAGCTGGTTCAGCCGCTGGGTCGAACGACCGTACAGCTAGTTAGGCCTAAACAGGAGCTAACATTAAAGCTTGTTTTCCACAATGTGACACCAGTTCTTTCACAAGCCATGGACTATGAAACCCATCAACGCTATCCACAGTGAGAAATTACGATTGTATGTAAAACCATCTCTGACAGAATCGACGGTTTTGAGACAGTCGCCCCGGTAAACAGGCCATGCTACCGTTGCTAAGCTAACATTTGTGTGGTTTAGTCACTGAGGTTAACATTAGCTAATAGACGCTACACATAATACAGACAATTTACATTTAATAACGTTACCACTCATGACAAACCTAAATAAAGCAATTTTCTACACAACATGCTGGCGATATGACAAAACAATGTCGTGCAAGGTTACATAAACGCCGTAAATGGCGAGTTTGCTCTACTGATCTACTGACCTAGTTTTGAAAAAGCGCAAAGTTGCGACCAATCGGCAAAAAACAACTGAAAATACACCGCTGCACTTCTTTCTTTTGTGGTACATCTCAACCTTGCACAGACACCGGGTCACTCCGTGTGAACATTTAAACTAGTGAGAAGCTTTTGTGGTGTTTCATTTACCTGCCGGTTCGCCTCCTCCCGCTCTGTCACCGCCACCAGCCGATGCATTCCTGGCCGACATGGCTGGAGCCGGGGCCGGTGCGCTGGGGCCCAGGACTCCAATGCATGGATGAGGCAGTCAACTACTCCGAGATATTGCTGTGTTAACAGGAGAGGATGTGAGACAGCCGCAAGCAATATGTTGTATCGTTTCTTCTCAGATGAAGAAAACCAGAGGGAGACGGCGCAGAAAGAAGCTCAACGACAGCAGTGTGCACACAGAGTGGGACAGTGTGGAGAAGTGGGGGTAACACGGAAGGCAGGACGCAATCTCCTCCTGCCGGTTCACCGGAGTCACCGCTGCAGCTTCACCGCTCCTGTGCTCCCTTCAGGTCTGTCGGAAAATATTCCCTCTGTCTAAATGGCTGATAAAGCCTATATTCCTATCAGGTCAAACAACTTAAAAAGGGTTAATTCTGCAGGATTTGATATTATCTGGAAGATGAAATCCATCTAAATCAAGAAATCCTTTATGGTCAAACGTAAAAAATGAAAAGAAAATGAACGAAAAGAAAAATCCATAAATGGAAATTAAACGTATGGGAGGTAAGAGCGCTTGAGTTGGTCTTCAAGAGCCACTAGGCTATAAAAACTACATTGAACTTCCCAGGGAGAGCTCAGTACAGTGCATAGTAATGTTACCGAAGCTCTAAGAGGAGACTCTGGTTATGGAGTCTGCTGAAGTTGTTCAGCTGAGGCCAGCAGTGCATCCGTTAGTCTTGGAGATCATGTGCCTGAGAAAACAAGACATCTGCTGTGGTGTTGCTCAATGGAGCTGCCTTGGTCCATTATTATTCTCATTGTACATGCTGCCACTGGGTGACAGCATCAGAGAGCACAATGTATGTTTCCATAGTTACGTGGATGATGTACACTGTACATCACTGCTGAACCAAACGATGCTGCAGCTATAAACTCCTTTACTACCTGTCTTCTAGCAATAGATAAATTGATGAGCAATAACTTCTTAAAGTTAAATGAGGACAAAACGGAAATCCTCCTAGTCAGCCCCAAAACAAAAAGAGAAATGTTGTTCAATAACCTGGGGAAACTGACTCCGTGGATTAAATCTGAGGTTACAAATCTTGGCGTTATCTTGGATTCAGATCTAAGCTTCAACAAGGTGACAAAAACATAATTTTTTTCACCATAAAAACATAGCTAATACGGCCATTTATAAACCAAAAAGATGCTGAAAGATTGCTTCATGCCTTTTTTTCAAGCCGATTTCATTACTATAATGCACTTCTCACTGGACTCCCCTGAAAAAAAAAAAAAACACTGAGAGACTTCAGCTCATTCAAAACTCTGCAGCTCGGCTATTAACCAGAACCAAGAGATCTGTCTATCTATCCAAGAGAACCAAGAGAAGAGAGCACATTAGTCCAGCTGCTCTGCACTGGCTTTCTGTCACATTTCGAATTGATTTCAAGGTCCTCCTCCTTATATACAAAGGCCTTAATGGGCAAGGACCAAGCTACATTGCTAACTTAGTGATTAACTATGTACCTCCGAGAACATTGAGGTCATCTACTGCTGCTTTATTGAGGGTTCCCAGCAACAGCTGTAGGAAAATTGGGGATGCAGCCTTTGTCAGTTACAGCCCAAAGCTATGGAACACACTACCTATAGATATCAGAGAGGCCAGCTCACTAAGTATTTTTAAAAGAAAGCTCAAAACTTATTTCTTCACTTTAGCCTTTAACTAGCTTTGTTCACTTTGCTCAACATTTATGCACCACTCAGTACTTCTTTTAAATGTCTTCCTATTTAATGATTTATTTTTTATTCATTATTTTATCTCATTGTACATTAATTTTTTTTAATGTTTTCATTTTAGAGCAATGCTTTTAACAATGTTTTATGTTCATTTTATGCCTTTTCTTTTCGTGCTAAGCACTTGGTACATTTTCTTTGTTGTGAAGCACTCTGTGCTACATTTGTTGTATGAAAGGTGCTATACAAATAAAGTTTATCATTATTATTATTATTATTATTATTATTATTATTATTATTATTAATAATAATAATAATAATAATAATATCCATGAGCATCCAGTAGAGGAGGCTCAACAAGACAACAGTGGTAGGGTATTACAGAGGTTGGCTGACCTGGAACACCTGAGAAAGAAAATGCAGAGAACAAAAATCTATTGGCAGAGAATAAATAACTACTTGACTCTGACTCACAAAAACAGGCGGAGAATGAAAATTATATATTTTTTTAAATTGTATTTAGATAGATAGATAGATAGATAGACAGATTAGTAATAATGGTGACCGTTTTGAAGTGTTATACAGCTTGATGGCAGTGGGGACAAAGGATCTCCTGAATAGATAGATAGATAGATAGATAGATAGATAGATAGATAGATAGATAGATAGATAGATAGATAGATAGATAGATAGATAGATTAGTAATAATAATGGTGACCGTTTTGAGCTGTTATAGATAGATTGATTTAAATGATGATTTTAAATGGTGTGTTTGGGTGTTGGTATTTGTTTGAGTAGCCTTTGTTGCTTAGAAGGGATGGTGTCCTTGTTGGAATTGGCAATAGGGCTCTAGAAGCTGGTAGGCACACTCACAGCATCTAGGGTTTGAACTGCAGAGGGAGATCAATTGGCTGCCCAGGGAAGCTGCAGGAATAAGCACACAAACTGTGGCAATGCCGATAGAAAAACTTGCATTCAGTACCCATTTAGCACAACTGCGCCACTGAGGTTCTCTAACGGAAGTCTCCAGCTGTTGAGGTTCTGCAACAGGAGTCTCTAGCTGTTGAGCTTCTCGAACAGGAGTCTCCAGCTGTTGAGGTTCTCTAACCGGAGTCTCCATCTGTGAAGGCTCTCTAACAGGAGTCTCTAGCTGGTGAGCTTCTCGAACAGGAGTCTCCAGCTGTGAAGGCTCTCTAACAGGAGTCTCTAGCTGGTGAGCTTCTCGAACAGGAGTCTCCAGCTGTGAAGGCTCTCTAACAGGAGTCTCTAGCTGGTGAGCTTCTCGAACAGGAGTCTCCAGCTGTGAAGGCTCTCTAACAGGAGTCTCTAGCTGGTGAGCTTCTCGAACAGGAGTCTCCAGCTGTGAAGGCTCTCTAACAGGAGTCTCTAGCTGGTGAGCTTCTCGAACAGGAGTCTCCAGCTGTGAAGGCTCTCTAACAGGAGTCTCTAGCTGGTGAGCTTCTCGAACAGGAGTCTCCAGCTGTGAAGGCTCTCTAACAGGAGTCTCTAGCTGGTGAGCTTCTCGAACAGGAGTCTCCAGCTGTGAAGGCTCTCTAACAGGAGTCTCTAGCTGGTGAGCTTCTCGAACAGGAGTCTCCAGCTGTGAAGGCTCTCTAACAGGAGTCTCTAGCTGGTGAGCTTCTCGAACAGGAGTCTCCAGCTGTGAAGGCTCTCTAACAGGAGTCTCTAGCTGGTGAGCTTCTCGAACAGGAGTCTCCAGCTGTTGAGGCTCTGCAGCAGGAGTCGCTTGTAGGCTCTCATCTCTCTGCTCCTCAGGCATTTCCAGTTGTTCTGTAATATCAACAAAAACCATTGATTCCTCTCTGAAATTCTTTATTCCAGCCAGTATTTCCTCCTCCTGCCTCATCTCTAGCTGGTTCTCAAGATCATGGAGTGACTGTCTGATTTCCGTTGTGAGTGTATAATACTCCTCTACCAGTTGCTGCTTATAAGCAATTTCATTGTTTTGCTTTGCAATTAGCTCATCTTTATTCAAGATTAGTAGATGAGTCTCCTCCACTCGGTACTGAAGATCTTGCACGGCTGTCTTCAGCTTTTTATTCTCTTCATTCTGTTTCTCTTTCAGAGACTCCAGTTGGGCCAGCTCAGCTGTAACCATGTTATTCTGCTCATTCAGAAATTCTTCCTTTTCCTGAAGATGATGCAGTGCTGTCCTCAACTTTTCCATCTCTATCTGTTTTTTCTCCATGAGAGACTCTACATGTGTCAGCTTCTGTGTTACCTCCTCTTTATCCCTGTGGACTTCCTGAGACTCTTTCACTTGGCACTGAAGATCACAGACTGCTGCTCTCAGACTCTCAATCTGTTGTTGATTTCTCTCTCTCACATATTCGAGGTCGGCCACTTCATCAATGAGGTTGTTGTTCTTCTCATTTAACATTTTCTCTTTCACTTGAAGAGCATCAATCTCTGCCTTCAGATTGTCATTCTCTGCCTGTTTTTTCTCTGTCTGAGATTCAAGCAGGACTAACTCAGCATTGATGGTCGTATTCTGATCACCCAGAGAGTTCAGACCTCCCTGCAGATTCTGCACTGTTGCCAACAACATCTTGTTCTCGCTCTGCAGTTTCTCTGTTAGGTGTTTAAGTTCAACAACCTTTTCTAGCAGCCCATCCTTATCACTGTTGTCTTGCTGAGCCTTCTCTACAGGAGTGTCCAGCTGTTGAGGTCCTGCAGCAGGCATCTCCTGTAGATTCTCATCTCTCTGCCCCTCAGGCATTTCCAGTTGTGCTAAATTTTCACCAAAAGCCCCAGATTCCTCTCTGATATTCTCTATTCCAGGCATCAAGTTGTCCAACTGCCACATCTCCAGCTGGTTCTTAAAAACAAGGAGTGATTGTTTCATATCGATTTTGAGTGTATCTAACACCTCCATCACTTGCTGCTGATTAGCAATTTCACTGTTTCGCATTTCACATTGCTCCCCTTTTTTCAAGTTTACTTGCTGAGCATCCTCAACTTGACACTGTAGATCACTCACTGCTGCTCTCAGACTTTCAATCTCTCCTTGCTTTATATGTTCAAGATGAGTCAGCTCAGCAGTGAGGCTCTTGTTCTTCTCATTTATTCCTTTCTCACTTTCCTTTAGAATATGAATCTCTGCCAACAGATTTTCATTTTCAATTCTTTGGCTCTCTCGCAGAGATTCAAGCCGGGTCAGATCAGCAGTAATGTTATCTTTCGTCTGGCTCAGAACCAATTTTTCCTCATCTAACTGTCTTATGTAAATGTCATTTTTCTGCCTAAGACTTTGCTCCTGGGACAAAAGGTTAGAGACCTGGGCTAGTTCTTCCTTAATCTCTGGGATTTTACTGACTGACTCCTGCAGTCTGCTGTTCTCAGTCTTCAGCTCAGTTACCTCCAGTATCTTTACACCCAACTCAGAATTTAGCCCCTCCAACTGGCTATGCACTTTATGAAGCTCTTCTTGTTGTTTCGTATAGTTCCTCTCTTTGGCCCTTAGCTCATTTAACTCCACCTCAAGTGCCATTAACTCTGATTGGAGCTCAGCATTGTTTTCATGACAGGTCCTGCTTTCAAGGAGTATTTGATTCATATTGGTTTTGAGTTTATTATACTTCTCAATCATTTCCTGCTTATCAGAGATTTCCCTGTTTTGCTTTTCAATTAGCTCATCTTTATTCTGAGCATCTTCCACTTGAACCTTAAGATTACAGACTTCTACTTTCAGACTTTCAGTCTGTTGTTGATTTCTCTCTCTCACATATTCAAGGTGGGCCACCTCATCAATGAGGCTCTTGTTCTTCTCATTTAACATTTTCTCATTTTCCTGCAGAGCATCAATCTCTGCCTTCAGATCATCATTCTCTGCCTGTTTTTTCTCTGTCTGAGATTGAAGCAGGACTAACTCAGCATTGGTGGTCTTATTCTGATCACCCAGACAGCTCAGAGTTGCCTGTAGATTGTCCACTATTGTGAACAACATTTTGTTCTCTGTCTGCAGTTTCTCAGTCAGGTGTCCAGGTTCCACAGGCTTGTCTTGTTGAGCCTCCACTACTGGAGGCTCAAGGTCACACACTGCTGCACTCAGATTTTCATTTTCAAGGTTTTGTTTCTCTCTCAGAGATTCAAGCTGGGTCAGCTGAGCAGTAATATTTTTTTTCTCCTGGCTCAGAACCATTTTTTCTTCTTCTAGCTCTTTTATGTAGGTTTCATTTTTCTGCCTGACACTTTGCTCCTCAGTCAAAAGATTTGAAACCCGGGCTAGGTCTTCCTTAATTACTGTGGTTTTACAGACTGCATCTACCAGTACGGTGTTCTCAGCCTCGAGCTCGGCTGCCTTGAGTACCATTACACCCAACTTGTAATTTATCTCCCTCCATTTGCCAAGCACTTTATAAAGGTTTTCATGTTCTTTTTCAAATTTTCTCTCCTTGGCCCTTAGCTCATTCAACTCCACCTCAAGCACTCTTATCTCTGATTGCACCTTAGCTTTGTCCTCATGACAGCAGCTGATTTTCTGATCATGAAATTCTTGCAGAAGCTCCCGTGGTCCAAATATTTCTACCTCCTCTGACATGTGCAAGCTTAGTGATTCCCCCGAAATCTCTGAAACAACCAGAGATGCGTTTAAGTCGTCTTCAGCCATACTTACTTTAACTGTTAATGATAAATCTTTTTCAAACCTTCTCTCAAAAGAGACAAACTTGTTGTTCCAACAGTCCGTTGTGTCAGAAAATGGCTGAAACTAAATAAATAATAGATTTATGTCCTTGTATACAACTACATGTGACGTTATTCGTGACGTTTTTCACCCTGTCCCTTGATGCCTTGCTTTGATCTTTTGTGACGTCACAACACTCGCTACCTTGTTCTTTGATTTAACTTGTCCTTTGATTCCTGTGCGTTGACCTAGTGTGACGTCATAACACTCGCTATAGGGCGCCACAGAGGGTGGCGTTGGGGGAGGGGAGGGGAGTGTAGAAGACACAATAATCATCAGAACCAAACAAACTGATAAAGTATATTGTTTCAAATCGAACGTCTTGTCATCTGTAATTCTAACTTTAAGTGCGCAGCGCTGCCGTGGTCGGTGCGCTTGTCTGCTGTCGATCGGGAAATGTGAAGCGTATTTTTTTTTTTTACGTACGTGTCGGTTGGTGCGCTTGTGCGTAATTACTGTGCGTGAATTTGATGTCACGTCCGCGATTCTCAACGACCGGAGCATCTCATGACAGCGCCCTCAGTACAGCCGTCTCTCTCTCCTTATCGACACCCTCCCACAGAGATTTGTCCACTCACTGACAAATGAATTAGTGAAACACTTTAACAATGAAATTAGAATACAGGCCCAAATAAGTAGTGAGCAATATTTAAGCAATATTTGGTAGGCAACGATTATTTAATGAGGTCTCTCTCTCTCTCTCTCTCTCTCTCTCTCTCTCTCTCTCTCTCTCTCTCTCTCTCTCTCTCTCTCCTCAGCTGTAGTCACCTGTCTACAGGAGACAGAGAACAAAAACCTGCTGGCAACAGTGCAGAATCTGCAGGAAAGTCTGGACTCTCAGGGTGATCAGAATAAGACCATGAATACTGAGTTAGTCCTGTTTGAATCTCAGACAGAGAAAAAACAGGCAGAGAATGTCAATCTGAAGGCAGAGATTAATGCTCTGCAGGAAAATGACAAAACGCTAAATGAGAAGAACAAGCACTGCGCCAAAACCCCAAGAATCCAGAGATATCCTTTTTAGGTTCTTGCAAGAATGTGGATCATATCTGGAGCATATCTGGAGATTTTTTGATGTTACATCTTACAAATCCATGATTGGAGCATGTCCAGTCCAGATTTCATCATATATGGGTAGTTTGAAATATCTGGGCAACTAAATCTCCACATTCTGGGGTATTTTGCGAAGTGAAGAGCCTCACTGATGACATAGCCCACCTTGAATATGTGAGAGAGAGAAATCAAGGAGCGATTGAATGTCTGAAAGTAGAAGTCCTTGATTTTAAGGGTCAGGTGGAGGATGCTCAGAATAAAGATGAGCTAATTGAAAAGCAAAACAGGAAAGTGTCTCTTAAGTAGGAAATAATTGAGGAGTATAATAAACTCAAAACCGATATGAATCAATCACTCATTGATAGCAGGACCAGTATTTCAGCTATATGGTCCTATAGGCTGTATTTCCTTTTTGTTTGATTTGTTTTCTGCATTTTAGTTAGTTTTATTCGGTGCACACAGAGGCCTAAAGATACATAATACAGACTGGATGGATGTCAGAATTGTATACAGTTTGTTGACTATATTTCTTGGGCAATCACATAATGAACTAATGTGTCACCTCCTCATCCCAAACACTAGATGGCAGGCGTTAGTTATTTAGAAATAAAAAAAAGACTATGATCATTTTTGTTCATACTGCTTGGTTTCATATTCAGATCTTACTTTCAGAGGTTATTTTGGGACACTTTAGAAGTGACTCTGAATCCATGCTCTGAAGGTGTGAAGCTTCCAATAATTTTGAACCAGATAGGCACCATGCACATGTAACACTCTAAAATTATGGTTCTTAAAACATCTGCCAATTTCAAGGGAGAAAAAAGGAGCATCCACACTCACAAAACAGTTGCAGCTGCAAGACAAGTATACCAAATTCAAGCTTAGTAGCATTAGCTTGCTAATTACTTATGAGTATGACCTTGACTTTGACTGTACTGCAGCTTGGCAAAAGTAGTAAATCTGTATGACCTGTAGTATTGCATATATTTAACTCAAGTCTCAGCATGCCATATGCTGTGTATATATATATATATATATATATAGTACACAGTATAAATGAGTACACCCCCTCTAAACATAAAGAAATATTTTTTCCCTAAATGATAAACATTCCAAATCATAAGAAGGTGAAAAACATGAAAAGTATTAAACGTATATATATATATATATATATATATATATATATACAGTATATATTTATATATATATAGCAGCATAGAAAGATATGTCATCAATATCTACTTAAATCAAGGGTTGCAAAGATGAGTACACCCTTTTATTATTTTAGTACATAGTATGTCCTACCTTACTTTTAAGAAGTGCACTGACCCTTCTTTGCATCGCATGTACCAGTTCACAACATATTATGCTGTCTATCCTGTTCGACTCCTGGAGGATGGCCTCCTTGAGACCCTTGTTTTGTTTTTTGTTTTTTTTGGGGTGGGGTGCTGCTCCACTTGTCTCTTCAAAATTCCCCACAGGTCTTTAACAGGTTTGAGGTCTGGTGACATACTTGGCCACTGCAGCACTTTCACCTTGTTCTTCCTTTAGAATGCAGCAGTGGCCTTTTTTGAGTCCATGCTTCCTTCTTTCACTGGGTCAATTCTTACACCACATTTGCAAATTTGCATACATATTTTATCTTGTCTTCCCCTTTTTTCATCTTGCTTTCGTAAACCCCTCCAATGTATCATTACCTTTGTACTCTTACACCATTCTTATTACTACCATCTTTTCATTAGCAGCTTTTGAGTTGTATTGTATTTTGCGCATGTGTGTGCGCATTATATTTTCTTTTGTAAATGAAATGTTCTTTTCATCTTTGTTGTTTTTATGATACTCAGTATCATTCAATTTCAAATTAACCTTACACATTCAATTCCACTGCAAATTACAATTTTTAAGTTTTTAATTTTTTTTTTAATTTTTATTGATGCAATTTTATTTCCTAGAACATGAACAATTTACAAATCCATCCAGCTGCCTCTGTTATGTGGACTGTGGGAGAAAACAAGGACATTATAAAAGGGACATTACAAGAATATTGACCACAGAATCTGTCATTAGGGTTTAAACTGGTGTGTTTGGGTGTTGGTATTAGTTCATGTAGCCTACCTTGTTTAAATGGGACGTTGTCCTTGTTGGAATTGGCAATAGGGCTCTAGCAGCTGGAAGGCACACTCACAGCAGCTAGGGTTTGTGCTGCAGTTGGCAGTCAGTTGTGTGGTCAGGATAGCTGCAGGAATAAGCGTAGCCACTGTGGCAATGCCAATATGCAAACCTACATTCAGTAGCCGTTTAGCAGAATGACACCACTGAGGTTCTCTAACAGGAGTCTTCAGCTGTTGAGGTTCTGCAGCAAGGGTCTCCAGCTGTTGAGGTTCTCTAACAGGAGTCTCTAGCTGTTGAGGTTCTGCAGCAGGTGTCGCCTGTAGGCTCTCATCTCTCTGCTCCTCAGGCATTTCCAGTTGTTCCGTAGTTTCAAAAAAAAACCTTGATTCCTCTCTGAAATTCTTTATTCCAGCCAGTTTTTCCTCCTCCTGCCTCATCTCTAGCTGGTTCTCAAGATCATGGAGTGACTGTCTGATTTCCGTTGTGAGTGTATAATACTCCTCTACCAGTTGCTGCTTATAAGCAATTTCATTGTTTTGCTTTGCAATTAGCTCATCTTTATTCAAGATTAGTAGATGAGTCTCCTCCACTCGGTACTGAAGATCTTGCACGGCTGTCTTCAGCTTTTTATTCTCTTCATTCTGTTTCTCTTTCAGAGACTCCAGTTGGGCCAGCTCAGCTGTAACCATGTTATTCTGCTCATTCAGAAATTCTTCCTTTTCCTGAAGATGATGCAGTGCTGTCCTCAACTTTTCCATCTCTATCTGTTTTTTCTCCATGAGAGACTCTACATGTGTCAGCTTCTGTGTTACCTCCTCTTTATCCCTGTGGACTTCCTGAGACTCTTTCACTTGGCACTGAAGATCACAGACTGCTGCTCTCAGACTCTCAATCTGTTGTTGATTTCTCTCTCTCACATATTCGAGGTCGGCCACTTCATCAATGAGGTTGTTGTTCTTCTCATTTAACATTTTCTCTTTCGCCTGCAGAGCATAAATTTCTGCCTTCAGATTGTCATTCTCTGCCTCTTTTTTCTCTGTCTGAGATTCAAGCAGGACTAACTCAGCATTGATGGTCATATTCTGATCACCCAGAGAGTTCAGACCTCCCTGCAGATTCTGCACTGTTGCCAACAACATCTTGTTCTCGCTCTGCAGTTTCTCTGTTAGGTGTTTAAGTTCAACAACCTTTTCTAGCAGCCCATCCTTATCACTGTTGTCTTGCTGAGCCTTCTCTACAGGAGTGTCCAGCTGTTGAGGTCCTGCAGCAGGCATCTCCTGTAGATTCTCATCTCTCTGCCCCTCAGGCATTTCCAGTTGTGCTAAATTTTCACCAAAAGCCCCAGATTCCTCTCTGATATTCTCTATTCCAGGCATCAAGTCATCCAACTGCCACATCTCCAGCTGGTTCTTAAAAACAAGGAGTGTTTGTTTCATATCGATTTTGAGTGTATCTAACACCTCCATCACTTGCTGCTGATTAGCAATTTCACTGTTTTGCTTTTCACATTGCTCCCCTTTTTTCAAGTTTACTTGCTGAGCATCCTCAACTTGACACTGTAGATCACTCACTGCTGCTCTCAGACTTTCAATCTCTCCTTGCTTTATATGTTCAAGATGAGTCAGCTCAGCAGTGAGGCTCTTGTTCTTCTCATTTATTCCTTTCTCATTTTCCTTTAGAATATGAATCTCTGCCAACAGATTTTCATTTTCAATTCTTTGGCTCTCTCGCAGAGATTCAAGCCGGGTCAGATCAACAGTAATGTTATCTTTCGTCTGGCTCAGAACCAATTTTTCCTCCTCTAACTGTCTTATGTAAATGTCGTTTTTCTGCCTAAGACTTTGCTCCTGGGACAAAAGGTTAGAGACCTGGGCTAGTTCTTCCTTAATCTCTGGGATTTTACTGACTGACTCCTGCAGTCTGCTGTTCTCAGTCTTCAGCTCAGTTACCTCCAGTATCTTTACACCCAACTCAGAATTTAGCCCCTCCAACTGGCTATGCACTTTATGAAGCTCTTCTTGTTGTTTCGTATAGTTCCTCTCTTTGGCCCTTAGCTCATTTAACTCCACCTCAAGTGCCCTTACCTCTGACTGGAGCTCAGCATTGTTTTCATGACAGGTCCTGTTTTCAAGGAGTATTTGATTCATATCGGTTTGGAGTTTGTTATACTCCTTAATAATTTCCTGCTTAGGAGAGATTTCCCTGTTTTGCTTTTCAATTAGCTCATCCTTATTCTGAGCATCTTCCACTTGATGCTGAATATCACAGATTTTTGCTTCAAAAGTTTCATTCTCCCCTTCATCAAGGTGGACCACCTCCCGTTTTAGCTGGGTCCCTGATTCCTCTCTGCAATTCTCTATTCCAGGCAATATGTCCTCCTCCTGCTTCATCTGTAGCTGGCTCTGGAGATCAAGAGGTGATTGTTTCATGTCGATTGTAAGTGTATAAAACTTACCACCTGCACACAGATTTTCATTTTCAATTTCTTGGTTGTCTACCAGGGATTCAAGCTGAGTAGGTTCAGCAGTCATATTTGTTTCCTTCTGGTTCATGACTAATTCTAATTTCTCATGGAGGTTGTCTTGAGACATACTTGCTTGAACTGTTAATGATAAATTGTTTTCACAGCTTCTCAAAAGAGACAAATATTCAGTTCGTTGTGTAGGACGTTTTTCGCCCTATCCGCTGATTCCTATGCCATGATCTAATGTGACGTCATAACACTCTTTACCTTGTACTTTGATCCCGTGTATTATCCTAGTGTGACGTCATAACACTCGTCATTGGCGGGAGGGGTGGGGGTGGGGGGCTAGAAGAACGATAAACATTACAACCAAATAAACGGATAAAGTATTATTACATTGGAACGTATTGTCGTAATTGTTACTGTATGTGCGCAGCGCTGCCGTGGTCAGTGCGCCTGTCTGCTGACGATGTTGCCTGTAACATGTGACTTGACTTTTTATCTTAACATCTGTGCCATAACGCGCCCTCTCAATGGCTGCATTTTTAGTTGGTTTTATAAATATAGATACATAAAGTTCATATGATTTCTCAAATCAGTTTTAGTTCTAAAGTAAATACAAGACTGGACAAGATTTTGTATACAGTTTATTGATTGTCTGCGTCTCTCTGCACAATCACATTGTGAACTCATGTGTCACCTCCTCATTCCAAACACTAGATGGCAGGCATGACTTATTTAGAAATAAAAAAGACTTCAGAATTACTTTTGGTTGGTGTCATGTTACCTTCAGAGGTAATTTTACATCACAAATCGATGAATTACTTTCAAAAAACTTCTAAATTCAACATTTGCATTACTGTTGTTCAGATGTTCAAGTGGTAGAGCTGAGTCAAACAGAAAGAAGAAGACTGCCAAGCTTCATACACCTACAGCATACTTAGTCTTGTTTACTAATTCTCTTGCTTCTGTTTGGGATCTGCCTCTCTAAATATAATTATCACATTGTACATCATTTAAATGTTACTAATTTATCAATAACTAATAAATGTGTTAGACTAACAATATATGTACCACCAAACAACCCACATTCAGCTCATTGGAAAAGGTTAACAAAAACAAAACATTTATGTAGGTCACACGAAAAGATATATCTCAAGAACGCAGATCTGTTCATGTTTCTCGTAACGAAGCTGTAATATTTCTGGTGTAAGGAACCTTGTTTATTGAATGAGTGTCCACTGGGGAGCCAGCTCTCATTTTATTCATGGAAAGCATAAACAGCTGGAATAATGGCACCAACCTGAACAGTTATTCTGCTGCAGCCCATCGCTAAAAAAAGGCTCTTTTTTTTTCAATGCTGCATATTTTATGATCTTCTTCCCCTCTGGCAAAATAAAGATTTGAAAGAAACATCATTGTCAAATGGTTAGAGATATGGTGTTGCTTCTTAATCCACGAACTTTACAGCTTTATGGCAGCATTTATGATTTGCATCACTCTTTCATACATGCTGAAAATGTGAAAAGCCAAACACTGAAAAGCTGGCTGAGAACAGGAATGTAAACCTGGAACTTGATGGCTCTGTCTTAGGTTTCACCTGCTCACATTTTACACCACAGCCGTCCAGCTCCTCCCGTCTCTCCTCAATGCAACTTGTCAGGCTCATGCATATTTGATTGTTCGCCCAGTGGGCTGCTATCAGATGAACCTAACTAGGCGAAGGGGTGGTGCTGTGGAGTTGACGATGGTGACGATGAAGATGATGATGATGATGATGATGATGTGTAAAGGAAGGGGCTGGGTTTTGGAAAATCAGCTACACCTGCCCCTCCTCACCAGGAATGGATGAGATATGAGATGGAGAGGAGATCTACGTGGATCATTCAGTTCAGCTGCAGACAAAGAGGACTCACAATGCCTAGAGGGTAAAAACTGGATTCTACACTTTTATCTGCTCTCCTCCTTACTTATCAGTATTGGATGGAGCTTCTGGAGATTAAACAAGCTCCTGAGGCTCTCACTGCATGGTACTTTGGACGGAGGACTACTTCAACATCATCCTCCCTCCAGCTCTTCTCTGAATCATCTCTGACAAGTGGAGAAGAAAGTCTGTGTTACCTCTGAGGGACCCTCGGCACCACTAAAAGGTGGAGCCAACCACCGGTGCCACAAACTCAGGGAGGATGAAGAACAGCTTCTAGTGGACCCCCCCCCCTCCCCCTGTCTCTTAGCAAAGAGTGCGAGTGAGGTATCCAGACACTGTTTTGAGATAAAAAACCCAGAAAATGCCTTTTGGTGGGTTAGCAGGTTTGAAGGAACAGGTGCTTAAGCCTGGGAAGGAAGAAGTGAAGAATACTGTGGGCGACTCTCTGGGAAAACTACAAAGGTGAGCAGGTTTGCGTGGAGAGTGGTGGGAAGACTGTGTGTGCAGGGTGTTTGAACTACACTCCTTGGACTACATGTAATAAGCTCAGGCTTTGCAGACCATGTATTGTTTTCATGGTAGAGATTTTTTTTTTTTTTTTTTTTTAAATAAGCTCGCTCCACTAAGAGGCTGAAATATCTACTGTCAGAGAGCCTGGAAGCGAGAACATTAAATCCAACGTGTTCTCAGAGATCCCGGTGATAAATAAATATTTGATTCTTGTGCTTGCCAGGCAATGCCAGTGATGTAATCACAGATTTTATTTTAAGACATTAATACATATTTCATATCTGATACATATTTCACAAAAGGATGTGTGTGGTGCTCGGAGCCTCCATATATAAGGGAGATTGTTGTCATTTAAGAGATAAAGCACTAAGTAGGCAATTTCCTGGGAAATGAGATTTGTGTATGTATAATTAATGTGTACTTTTTTTCTGGTAGAAAGGGAATGCGGTGATTTACATTATGAACCTGTGGAACATGGCAAAGAAAATGTCTTTGCTGTTGCTTAATATAGATTTATTATTATTACTATCATTATTAACAATAAGATGAGGAAGAATGAGCACAGTATAGATTTTGAAAATAACTATATGACTTTTTTTTCTCATGCGTGTAAATAATTTTTCATTGAGCGCAAAAGAGATTACAAAAGTTATATTTCTGGATCACAACATGGGACATTAATTAAATAACCCATTAATCCAAGTTCATGTCAGGTGAAACAATCTGATCTAGTCTCTAGTCTTGGCCGAGACAAAAAAGAAAAATCAATTGGAGATACATTTTTTCATTTGTTTCTGTGCAAAAAATGTATGTCATGCTTTTCATCTTGCACTTTTAAGATACAGTATGTGAAGTGAATAGCTTTACATTGATCCTTGTGCTACCAAACATCACAAACACCGACATAATTGAGAAGAAAAAGCCCTAATATAAAACACACTCAAACATAAAATACTCATGGAAGGCTGCATGATTTTGTCCATATGTTTCAGCCATTTTCTGGTTGATGCACCAACTGACAACACTTTTTAAAACCTGAGCACATGAAGTTAGTGATCAGGCAGTAACTTTTAACCCTGCTTCACTGTCCTGTCGTGTGCTGAATGTGAATTTCTGATTACTGTACCCTTTCTTTGACAATTTTTCCACATACGTACACCCATGTTTGATGCATCTGTTCTGCAAGAGATATCTACTAAACGTACTGTACTCTCAAAGACAGAAGCGACAGATTAAGGTTAACAGTGTCCATAATCAGCTCCACGATACTGATATCCAGTTTGGTTCTCTGTATCTGCGCTGTCATTTAAGGCTTTTTAGACTCACGTCTAAGTCTAATATCAGACAGACTGTATTCATAACTCATAATTTTAACAAAGAAGAGATAACCATCAGGCACACACAACACCAGTCTGTCCCGTCCGTAAGAATACTTCCTTTTCCAGATCAGTGTATTATTCCACAATACATAATATGACATGAGAATGATTCGAGTCCACAAAATCTGATCCCAGTTTCTTGTTAATGTGCTGGAGGAGAACTCCAGTGAAGATCTGCTTCTGCAGGTAGATGGACGCAGTTCATGGCAGCAGGGAGACAGGGAAACAGATGGATTCTGGGTTTGTGGAAAAGGGCGGTTTACCTGAAAGCAACCTGATAATAGCAGTGCTGTGACCTTTTTAGTCGTGTGTCTTGGCTTCACCTCCTGCCCTCTGCAAGTGAGCGGAGAGACTTGTGTTACTGTTACGGACAAAAGCAACAGGATAGGACATTATCATGTGAATATTGCACAGAACCACATTCTGTACATGCTTATATGACTTGCAGACAAATTCTGTTTAAAATATCACAGAATTTAGGTACGTTGGACTCTGAAAGTAGAGGAAGAATACGGATAAAGATAAATAGTTTTACTTCAGGCTTAACAGATAACAATTGACTGTTTTTTCTTGCTATTTGCTCCATAGGAAAATAGATGGTAGCAATGTAGAAGAAGAGGACAACATCGAACTGACGGAGGATGGGCGTCCAGTGGCATCAGCAACACGTCCTGCCCCGCTGCTGGACTGCAGCTGTGGCGGTCTCCCTAAACGCTACATCATCGCCATCCTCAGCGGACTGGGTTTCTGCATCTCCTTTGGAATTCGGTGCAATCTTGGCGTGGCCATTGTTGAGATGGTGAACAACAACACTGTCTATATCAATGGGACTCCAGTGCTTCAGGTAGTTGGAGGATTTTGGGTCATTGACTGTTTAAGATTTTTTAGTATGTATGTTTCTTTTCTTGTTGCTTGCAATACCCTCATAAGACAATACAGAAAAAGACTAAATTGTAGATTAGCCATTATAATTAACACTTTTTGGGGATGTATTTGGGATACTGGCAAAATACTAAATGAATGCTGTTCGATGATAAAACTTAGTAAATGATAAAACCCCGGACACTTGTAATAAAAAAAACTTTGTGTATCGAATTGACAGTGCTTTTATTGCTTCTGAGTTCAACATTGAATTTTTAAAATGAGGGT